GGGTGGGGGTGCAGGTGTAGGTGGTGCTGGAGCTAGGTCTCCTGGTGGTGGTGCGGACGAGGGGACCCTGACAGGTGCAGCCGAGCAGCCGTCTCAGCAGCCGCCGGTATTGCAGCCGGACTCGCGTCAGCCGCAGCAGGCGCAACAGCCACAGCAGCAGCAGAGACGGGCGAGTGGTCTCCCGCCCGTGTGGCCTGGCGCTGGTGGTAGCGCTGGGCATGGTGGTGGTGCACGTGGTGGGCTGCCGAGTGGTGGTTCGGGTGACGCGCGTTGTCAGTGCCTGCTCCAGACCGGTCCTCGCCGTGGCTTCGTTTGCGGTAAGATCGGTCACACCTCCGTCCCCTGTTTCCATCGCCTGGACGACCTGTTTCGTCAGCGCTTCGGCCCGTCGCCCGAACTCCCCGACTGGCACAGCTTGCTTCGTCGTAGGGTTCAGATTTTTGATCTGGATATGGATGAGATTGTTACTGCTCTGCATGTGATGTATGCTGATGACTCTAGTGTGCTTCCGTCTTATTACCCCTTGTTGCCTAGTGTAGGTGTGCCTTGCTTAGCCTCCCCTGCTGCGTCAGGCGTAGGATCCCCTGCTTTGTTTAGCCTTGGTGCTTCCATCGCTGCTTCGCCTCCGGCCGCCACTGCCGCGCTCTCCTTCACCCTCGACTCTGGCGCTTCTCGGTGCTTCTTCTGCGACTCCACCACGTTGACACCGCTTCCTGTCCCTGCCACAGTCTCTCTTGCTGACCCCTCCTTCGGCCCTGTAGTCGCCCGCAGTTCCACCACCCTCCCCTGCCCGGCGGTTCCTTCGGGCTCGCTCACAGGGCTGCACATCCCCTCGTTCTCCAGGAACCTAGTTGGTGTCGGCTGCCTTCAGGATCTTGGCATCACCACTACGTTCCCTGGACACGAGCGGTACGCTGTCTGTACCGAGGCCGCCATTGGTGCCCCCCTGTCCACGTTCCCCCAGGACCCGGTGTCCGGTCTTTTCACACTGGAGACGGTGACCCTCCCGGCTCAGACCCACCCTCAGGTGGCTGCGTCTCCTTCGATTGCTGCTGCCTGCTCCTGTCGGTCTCTCACCCACCCGACTCTTCTCTGGCACCACCGCCTAGGTCACCCTGTGCTCCCACGTCTGCGTCACATGTCACAGCACGGTCTCGTCCTAGGCCTCCCCGGGTCGTTCCCTGAGTTTCCCTCATCCCCAGCCCCACCTTGCACGCCCTGTGTCGAGGGTCGGCTCCGCCGTGCCCCTCGCTCCTCCTCGTTTCCCCCTACCGCAGCACCGCTACAGACTCTGCACATGGACGTCTGGGGCCCCGCCCCCGTCCATGGGCCGCATCGAGAGCGCTACTTCCTAGTGCTTGTCGGCGATTACACGCGCTACACCATGGTGCTTCCCCTGGAGCATAAGGCTGACGAGCCTGACGTTCTCATCCCGTGGCTTGTCTCTGCGCGTGTCCACCGCGGTCTCCCTGTCTTGCGTCTCCACTCCGACCGTGGTGGCGAGTTTGCCTCTGGTGTCCTTGGTCGTTTCTGTCGTGCAGAGGGCATCACCCATACGTTCACCTTGTCGGACTCCCCGCAGCAGAATGGGGTCGCTGAGCGACGCATCGGTTTGGTCATGGAGGTGGCTTGCACCTCCATGATCCATGCCGGTGCACCCCATTTTCGGTGGCCGTTCGCCGTTCGCTACGCCGCTCACCAGCTTAACCTGTGGCCGCACCCACAGCAGCCTCAGGTTTCGCCGACCCTTCTTTGGTCTGGGTCCCCTGGTGCCGCGTCTGGGTTTCGCGTCTGGGGCTGCCTTGCTCACGTTCGTGCCTCTGGCCCAGACAAGCTCACTGCCCGCACCCTTCCCTGTGTCTTCCTCGGCTTCCCCCTTGACGCGTCTGAGTGGCACTTCTACCACCCGCCGTCTCACCGGTTCTTTCATTCCCGCGACGTCACCTTTGACGAGTCCGTCTCCTTTTTCCGCCGCTTCCCCCACCGAGGTTCCACCGGTTACCCCCCCCCTGTTCCTAGTCACCCCTTCCCCGGTCGTCGCTGCCCCTCCTCCTCCCCCTCCCCATCCTGCCCCCTCTGGTGTGTCCCACGTCACCCCACTTCCGTCGGTTGTCCCGGTTGAGGAGTCTGCTGGCTCTGGTGGTCCTGCGGTGCAGTCCTCGCCGCCTGCCCCTTCTCAGGTGTCTCCTCATCCGCCGCCTCCGCAGCCGCTGTCGCCACCGCCGCCGCCGCCGCAGTCGTCGTTGCAACCACCGCCGCCGCAGTTCGTTGCCTCTGGGGGTGCTGGAGTTGGGGTGGGTACTAGTCCTGGGACTTTTGTCGTGGCTTGTCCCGGCGGGCCTGGGCTTGGTACTGGTGCTCGAGGGGTTCTGAGCTCTGGGGGTGTTTCTTCTGGGGGTGCTGGCGTGGAGTGTTTTGGAGGTCGCCGCCAGGCAACTTGCGGTCCCGGTGCTGGTGTCACACCGCCGCCGCAGCGGTCCCCGCCGGTGTCCGCTCTTCGCGTGCTCGGCCTTCCGTCCCCTGACCCTGTGCCTGTGTCTCCTCTTGTCTACGGCCCTGTGTTCCCTCCTCCGGACTCGTCTCCGGCTCGTTTCCCCCCTCGTTCCCCTCTTGTGTCCCCTCCTCCGTCTCACGTCTGGTCTCGCCGTCCCTCCCGTGCTCGACCTGTCTCCCCTGTCTCGCGCTCTCACCCTATGTTGCTACGTTCCTACGCGTCTCGTCCTCCCCTTCTCCCGTCGCCCCCTTCGTCCTCCCTTGTTGTTGCTCCCCCCCCTCTGTCTGACTACCTGTGTGCCGCTCGTCCTCTTGTTCCTCGGGTCCTTGCCTCTCTCGTTACCGACCCGTCTGTTCCGGTTTCGAGTCTTGACGCCCTTGTAGCTGCGGTCCCTGACTTCGCCTCTACCCGCCGCCTGGACTACGCCACCGCTCTGGTCTCTGACCCTGCCTGTCCTCCGTCTGTCGGGGGTGCTCCTGCCCTCGGTAGTGACGTCCTGGAGGACCGCCAGTACGAGCTTGCTTTCCTGTCCGAGGCTGCTCCCCATCTCTGCTCTATGCTTCTAGTCCCTGACGGTGACCCCGACGCTTTCGACATCCTGACCCCTCGCACTTACGCTGAGGCGGTCTCGGGACCCTGGGCCTCTCAGTGGATAGCTGTCATGGAGCAGGAGATGGCATCTTGGAGATCCACCGGCACCTACGTCGACGCAGTTCCCCCACCTGGGGTGAACGTAGTCGATGGTCGCTGGCTCTTCAATGTGAAGCGCCCTCCTAGAGAGCCGCCTGTGTTCAAGGCGCGCTACGTGGCTAGAGGTTTCAGTCAGTGTGAGGGGGTGGACTTCTTCCAGACCTTCGCTCCGACCCCGAAGATGACTACTCTTCGGGTGCTGCTACACGTAGCAGCTCAGCGTGACTACAAGCTTCACTCCCTCGACTTCTTCACTGCGTTTCTTCGGGGCAGTCTACACGAGCAGGTCTACCTGCGGCGCCCTCAGGGCTTCACTGGTACCTTCCCTCCTGGGACCCAGTGGCTCCTGCGGCGCCCCATCTACGGCCTGCGGCTCGCTCCCCGTGAGTGGCACGACACGCTGCGTGCTACGCTAGCTGACATGCTGTTCTTTCCATCCACTGCAGACCCCTCGCTCTTCGTTCATGCTAGCCAGACCCCGTTCTACATCCTTGTTTACGTAGACGACCTGGTCTTCGCCACGGCAAACAGGGACGCACTGGCCTCTGTGAAGGCAGAGCTGCTGAAGAGACACATCTGCACTGACCTTGGAGAACTGCGCCACTACCTTGGCTTGCAGATCTCCAGGGACAAAGCAGCGAGCACCATCACTTTGACTCAGTCACACTTGGTGCGCCAGGTCCTTCAGAGGTTCGGCCTTCAGTTCTCCTCCGCACAGCCCACTCCTCTGCCTCTAGACCACAGACTCTTCGCTCTAGTTCCTGAGGAGTCGGCAGAGCCCAGTGGTCCTTACGCAGAGCTGGTGGGTTGCCTCATGTACCTGATAACTTGCACTCGCCCAGATATCGCATACCCTCTCAGCATCCTGGCTCGCTTTGTGGCTACAGGCAAACACCGACCTCAGCACTGGTCTGCCGCTAAGAGGGTTTTGCGTTATCTTGCAAGCACATCGGGCATGGGGTTAGTGCTAGGAGGACGTAGGCCAGTGGTCCTTACTGGACACACAGACGCTTCTTGGGCAGACGATGCCGAGACCCTCAGGTCCTCACAGGGCTTCTACTTCAGCCTTGGTTCAGGTGCCGTCTCGTGGAGAGCTACCCGCTCATCGTCTGTTGCCCAGTCCAGCTGTGAGGCCGAGATCTACGCCGGTGCCATGGCGGCACAGGAGCTCCGCTGGCTGACCTTCTTGCTCACTGACTTAGTTGAGCGGCCTAGCTCTGCCCCGGTCCTGTATGCTGACAACAGGGCCATGATCCTCCTATGTCAGGAGCCTCGACTCGAGGGCAAAGCGAAGCACATCCAGCTGCGGTACTTCCTCCTGCGTGAGCTCCAGCAGTGCCGCCAGGCGCGCGTAGTACACTTGGCCTCCGGTGCCAAAACAGCTGATATCTTTAGGAAGGTGCTTGCACCTAAAGATTATTAGCGGCTCAGTGTACAGCTAGGTCTCTTTCCTGTAGCCTCTCACTTGCTAGGCCCTCGACTTTGTACTGTCCTTCATATATATATATTTTACCCTGACTGGCCTTGTGGCCTCTCCCAGTGGCTGGACTAATAGTGCCACCCTGGTCTTGCTCTTGCCTTGTCTGTACTCCTTGTGACTGGTCTTTAGACCCTTGTTTCAGAGGCTGGCTGGACTAGTAGTGCCGCCCTGAGCTGCTTCTTCCATTTTTAGGCACTGCCCCTATATATTCTAGGGGGTGTGTCAAACATAACTTCTGCAATTACTGTAGACTATATGTGTTTGTGCCTTAGTGAGTACAACTCACCAATCTATATTGCCTTGTATCTCCCCATTCTAGTCATTCATTCATTCTGATAATACCCTACCAAAGCGCATTCAGACAAACACTTGGGACACGCCCTAATGCTTCTCAACTTTGCCAACATGTCCATCCTGTCCTGTGTGACATAGATTTTTCGGCAAGAGCAAAGCAACGCATACAAGGGAGAATGGGAAGCCATAACAGCATACACAAGCAGCTCCTCTGGCTACTAAGCACCCCCAGATGGGATTTTAGTAAAGCAGAAAGTCATTGCTCTTGATGAGCAGCAGGTGAGCGAACTGTTGGAGGAACCACAGAGCCACCAACCACCACTTGCCTCAAAGCAGCAAAGGCAGAAAAATGAGATATTGACCACTCTTCCAGCCAAGCACCGCACCACCAGATCCCATCCCCACTCAACTACATTTCCCCCGGCAGCCCTGGCACCCCTCTTTACACTTAATTGTACAAGAATGGACGGCTATAGCAACTGAAGCCAGTGCTGTATCTCCCATCCTGTACTTCGTCACAACAGCAACCGGCCTTCTGTCAGAAACTGCCCCAAACCAGTCGTAAGGGGCACGTACTGAGTGCTGTCACACATGCTGCTGCGGCAATCGTTCCGCAGCGCACTCTGTGGGGTAAGAATGGTTGATAGGGGAGCAGCAAGGCACAAACCATCAGTTATTGCCTCTATGTGGCAGGCTAAGTTTGAGTACCTATCAGTGGCAGGCTAAGTTTGAGTACCTATCAGTGGCAGGCTAAGTTTGAGTACCTATCTGTGGCAGGCTAAGTTTGAGTACCTATCTGTGGCAGGCTAAGTTTGAGTACCTATCAGTGGCAGGCTAAGTTTGAGTACCTATCAGTGGCAGGCTAAGTTTGAGTACCTATCTGTGTCAGGCTAAGTTTGAGTACCTATCAGTGGCAGGCTAAGTTTGAGTACCTATCAGTGGCAGGCTAAGTTTGAGTACCTATCAGTGGCAGGCTAAGTTTGAGTACCTATCAGTGGCAGGCTAAGTTTGAGTACCTATCAGTGGCAGGCTAAGTTTGAGTACCTATCAGTGGCAGGCTAAGTTTGAGTACCTATCAGTGGCAGGCTAAGTTTGAGTACCTATCAGTGGCAGGCTAAGTTTGAGTACCTATCATTGGCAGGCTAAGTTTGAGTTCCTATCAGTGGCAGGCTAAGTTTGAGTACCTATCAGTGGCAGGCTAAGTTTGAGTACCTATCTGTGGCAGGCTAAGTTTGAGTACCTATCAGTGGCAGGCTAAGTTTGAGTACCTATCAGTGGCAGGCTAAGTTTGAGTACCTATCTGTGGCAGGCTAAGTTTGAGTACCTATCTGTGGCAGGCTAAGTTTGAGTACCTATCAGTGGCAGGCTAAGTTTGAGTACCTATCAGTGGCAGGCTAAGTTTGAGTACCTATCTGTGTCAGGCTAAGTTTGAGTACCTATCAGTGGCAGGCTAAGTTTGAGTACCTATCAGTGGCAGGCTAAGTTTGAGTACCTATCAGTGGCAGGCTAAGTTTGAGTACCTATCAGTGGCAGGCTAAGTTTGAGTACCTATCAGTGGCAGGCTAAGTTTGAGTACCTATCAGTGGCAGGCTAAGTTTGAGTACCTATCAGTGGCAGGCTAAGTTTGAGTACCTATCATTGGCAGGCTAAGTTTGAGTTCCTATCAGTGGCAGGCTAAGTTTGAGTACCTATCAGTGGCAGGCTAAGTTTGAGTACCTATCTGTGGCAGGCTAAGTTTGAGTACCTATCAGTGGCAGGCTAAGTTTGAGTACCTATCAGTGGCAGGCTAAGTTTGAGTACCTATCAGTGGCAGGCTAAGTTTGAGTACCTATCAGTGGCAGGCTAAGTTTGAGTACCTATCAGTGGCAGGCTAAGTTTGAGTACCTATCAGTGGCAGGCTAAGTTTGAGTACCGATCAGTGGCAGGCTAAGTTTGAGTACCTATCTGTGGCAGGCTAAGTTTGAGTACCTATCTGTGGCAGGCTAAGTTTGAGTACCTATCAGTGGCAGGCTAAGTTTGAGTACCTATCTGTGGCAGGCTAAGTTTGAGTACCTATCAGTGGCAGGCTAAGTTTGAGTACCTATCTGTGGCAGGCTAAGTTTGAGTACCTATCTGTGGCAGGCTAAGTTTGAGTACCTATCTGTGGCAGGCTAAGTTTGAGTACCTATCAGTGGCAGGCTAAGTTTGAGTACCTATCTGTGGCAGGCTAAGTTTGAGTACCTATCTGTGGCAGGCTAAGTTTGAGTACCTATCAGTGGCAGGCTAAGTTTGAGTACCTATCAGTGGCAGGCTAAGTTTGAGTACCTATCTGTGGCAGGCTAAGTTTGAGTACCTATCTGTGGCAGGCTAAGTTTGAGTACCTATCTGTGGCAGGCTAAGTTTGAGTACCTATCAGTGGCAGGCTAAGTTTGAGTACCTATCAGTGGCAGGCTAAGTTTGAGTACCTATCAGTGGCAGGCTAAGTTTGAGTACCTATCTGTGGCAGGCTAAGTTTGAGTACCTATCAGTGGCAGGCTAAGTTTGAGTACCTATCAGTGGCAGGCTAAGTTTGAGTACCTATCTGTGGCAGGCTAAGTTTGAGTACCTATCTGTGGCAGGCTAAGTTTGAGTACCTATCAGTGGCAGGCTAAGTTTGAGTACCTATCAGTGGCAGGCTAAGTTTGAGTACCTATCTGTGGCAGGCTAAGTTTGAGTACCTATCTGTGGCAGGCTAAGTTTGAGTACCTATCAGTGGCAGGCTAAGTTTGAGTACCTATCAGTGGCAGGCTTGCTTTCTCCTTCCACCACCTCACCTCCCCCCCATGCTGCACCTCACCTCACCTCCCCCCCATGCTGCACCTCACCTCACCTCCCCCCCATGCTGCACCTCACCTCACCTCCCCCCCATGCTGCACCTCACCTCACCTCCCCCCCATGCTGCACCTCACCTCACCTCCCCCCCATGCTGCACCTCACCTCACCTCCCCCCCATGCTGCACCTCACCTCACCTCCCCCCCATGCTGCACCTCACCTCACCTCCCCCCCATGCTGCACCTCACCTCACCTCCCCCCCATGCTGCACCTCACCTCACCTCCCCCCCATGCTGCACCTCACCTCACCTCCCCCCCATGCTGCACCTCACCTCACCTCCCCCCCATGCTGCACCTCACCTCACCTCCCCCCCATGCTGCACCTCACCTCACCTCCCTCACCTCACCTCACTTCCCCTCCCTCACCTGACATCACCTCCCTTCCAAGTCTCTCCCCTGTCACCATCCCTCTTGCCCTTGTGCCCATCATCTCTTGAGCGCCCTTCCGCTGCCTCTGCTGCTCGCTGCTGCAGCATCTCCTGCATGGCCCAAGCACACTTGCACATTACACTCACTTCTCACCACCCCTCTCGCCCATGAGCCCGTCACCACTTGAGCGCCCCTCCCCTCTCGCTGCCTCTGCTGCCCACTACCTCTTCATCTCGTGCACGGCCCTGGCACACTCACGCACAATGGCACTCACCTGTCGGCCTGCCATCACCGCTCTCCACCCCTTCAATTCTCAAGTGAACCTCCTGCCGACTCTGCTGCAATCTGCCTCACCATCGCCTACGCAGCACTAACACGCACACTGTGGCCCTCACCTGTCAGGTTGTCACAACCACTCTCCACCGCTTCATCTCTTGAGCGCCCCCCCTGCCGCCTCAGCAGCGCGCTGCCGCATCATCTCCTGCACCGCCTTGCGCCGCCGCGACTCCATCTGCTGCGCGGAGCGCCGGAAATGCTCCTTGAGGTCCCTGGGGGGGGGGGGGGGGGGGGAGGCACAGGAGGGCACACAGGGGCACATGGACATGAGAAAGACGTATCATAAAGGGGCTGCGGCTACATCTGCTGTGCTGAGCGCCGGAAATGCTCCTTGAGGTCCCTGGGGGGAGGAGCACGGCAGCACACAGAGGGGGGTACAGGGGCATGGGAGGGCGCACAGCGGCACATAGACATGAGAAAGACAAAGATGAGGGGGACGAATTTTGAAGAGAATTCGCCTCCACCTGCTACGGTGCATGCCGGAAATGCTCCTTCAGGTCCATAGGAGATGCACTGGGAAGCACTTCCGAGGGAGGCACAGCAGCACCCAGGCGACAGGGATTTAAGACATGCGTGCATGAGATGCGAGCCAGGAAGTAAATGCCTTGCCATCCAAACTGAATCCCTGCGCTGACTTGCAAACTGTACCCTGAATGGCTCAAATCACTTGCAAACTGTACCCTGAACGGCTCAACTCACTTGCAGCGGGGCACCCTGCAGGCGCTGTCCTTGCAGGAACGTGCGTGCAGGTGCAGCAGCCCCCACATGCGCTTGCAGTGCTGGCAGCCCCCAGCTGAACGGACGGTGCAGATGGTGCCGTGGCGGAAGAGCATCTTGACCATGCTGCATTTGGGGTACGTGCACACGGTGCCCGGCTGTGGGCGGCACGAGGCGGCATGGGCCAAGAGCTCGAGCATTTTGCGCACCTGCATCAGGACGGGAATAAGGGAAGGGGGGAGGGAGGGAGAGAGGGGAGCAAGGGGGGAGCATCTTGACCATGCTGCACTTGGGGTACTTGCACGTGGAGGGACAGAGGACGGGGAGGGCTAGGAAGTGATACAAGGCCCCACACCACGAACCAGAGATAATGGACAGCGACAAGTTTCGACTCGAGGCAGCTCAAACGCGCGACTCACCTCCTTGATTCTCTGCTGCCTTCCCTCTTGGCTCTGTGCGTTCCTGTCGGGCTGACTGGCGTGCGGCACCAGCGGGTGTGGGTGAATGTGCTGACTCGCATGCGACACCTTCAAGACACTTCAAGCACCGAGCTCACCTCCTTGATTCGTTGCTGCCTGCCCTCTTGGCTCTGCGCGTTCCTGTCCGGCTGGCTCGCATGCGACACCAGCGGGTGGGGATGCCCACAGTTGGCCTTGCAAGCCGCGCACACATCATAATCTGGGCACGACTCGCACCGCCACCCTTGACGGTTCTCAATGTCCCGCTGGCACGAGTTGCAGGTGACAACGAAGGCGGGCGCCGTGGGGTTGTGCAGGTGGTACAGCACCATGAGCGACGAGTGCTTGGCGCGCCGCAGCGTGTCGTACTGGTAGTGGTTGCCCTGGCAGAGAGAGAGGAACGCCTGCCGCGTGTCAAAGAACTCCGACTCTACAACTTCGTCAGGATCCTTGGTTTCCGCAGGGACAGGCGGGTCGATGGGCAACTGGGAGGAAGGGATGCAAGGGAAAGGGGGATGGGTGAAGGGAGATGGCTGAAATGAGGGTTGGCGTGGTGCGGGGGAAGGGGACTAAGTCGGACGGAACCACCTCCTTCAGGTCGTTGGTTTCTGTGGGAACGGGGGGTCGATGGGGAGGTGGGAGGGCGAGCAAGGGAGGAGGACGAAGGGAGAAGGGAGGAGGGGGGAGTGCGGTAGTGAGGAGGTGGGTCTGCTTTAGTGTAGGCGCAGGGGAGAGATCGAGCAGGGAGCGAAGTAGATGGCCAAGCAGGAGACGGAAGAGGGATGCTTGTTTCCAAGAATCCCCAGGAGGAGTGCAGGGAGCACGCACAGGCTTTTGGACATGGGTCGCTTGAGCAGCATGGGGTGGGGGTCCATGGGGCGTGTCACTAATGCCAGCGGGCCTATGAGAATGCCGCGAAGCCTAACCCCTACAGGCAGGGCACTCACGGGCGTGAGGTCGTGCGCCTCTTTAAGCAGCACAGGGTGGCGGTCCATGGGGCTGCGCCGCTCCTCCAGCTTGAAACAGCTGCATGGGAGGGAACGGGTGTGAGGAGTGGTTGGGAAGGGTGAGAACGGTGAGGCAGGGAGAGAAGGAACCAGAAACGAGGGACGCAAACGGTAAAAGGAGACTATTTTTGAGGCGCCTCAAAAATAGACTCCTCAGGCAGGGAAAAAAAGGGAGAGAAGGAAGCAGAAACGAGGTACGGCAGGGAGAGAAGGAACCAGAAACGAGGTACGGCAGGGAGAGAAGGAACCAGAAACGAGGTACGGCAGGGAGAGAAGGAAGCAGAAACGAGGTACGGCAAGGAGAGAAGGAACCAGAAACGAGGTACGCAAACGCTAAAAGGAGGGCACAATGTGGCAAGGGGATACAACAACAATGATGCAAGGATGCGGGGAAGAGGGGAAAGAGGGAGTATGGCCGAAGAGAGACGGCAACGAGGGGCTCTAAGAGGCTTTAAGGGTCGCCAAAGTTGAAGTGCTTGCACTGTGGCTGCTCGTTTTAAGGCGCCTCAAAACGAGGCAGGGGTTTTAAACGAGGCCTTACGGGTCGCAGATGTTGAAGTGCTTGCACTGCGGCTGCTGGCACACCCATCGGTTGCCCGTGATGATGAAGTTCTTGCAGTGCGAGCAGCAGTAGTGCATGTGCACCATTATGAAATCCTCCTTCATCTGGAGGATGGTGCTGCCAAGCTGAGAGAGGGTAAGGAGAGAGAGGGACAGGAGATGTGAGGGGAAACGAAGGAGTTATTGCAGTGCGAGCAGCAGTAGTGCATGTGCACCATTATGAAATCCTCCTTCATCTGCAGAATCGTGCTGCCCAGCCGAAAAGAGAGAAAGCGGAAAAGCAAGGGGAAGGGGATATTGTACACGTCTAGAGATGGCGGATAACAGAAGATGGGCTGCTGCTAGCAACGAGAACATGTAGAGATACACAAAGGGATTGCTGCAGTAACTTATCCTCTGTGTGAACTGCATTCCATTCCACATTCAGAAGCAAAAGCATCCCATGGACTGCCCTATGGTGGAAGCTTCCAACCCCATCCGTCATCTCAACACCTCCACTCGCCCCATACCACCCCTCGCGTCTCTCCTCACCACCTCTCCCCTCTCTCCACCTCTCCTCTCCTCACCTTGCTCATCAGCTGCTTGTCCAGCGAAGCAGGCGCGCCCCCAGAAAATCATCCCTTTGGCCCAGCCCTCTCGTCTACCCCCCACCTCTCACCTCTCTCTGCCGCACTCCACCCCTCACCTTGCTCATGAGCTGCTTGTCCAGCGAAGCCGGCGTGCCCAGGTCTTCATCCCTCCCCCCTCCCCCCCCTCGCTTGCTCGTCGCTTTGCTCTTCTTTGCCTTCTTGGGCCCCTTGCCGCCTGCCTTCTCCTCCTCCCGCTCCTCCAGCAGCTTCTGCAGCTCGTCCTCCATGGCGCCGGGCCAGTAGTCCCCGTCGAAGTAGGGCAGACGGGCGGCGGAGGGGAGGGCGCGGCTCTCCCCGATTTGCACGAAGAAGGTGTCGTAGAGGTTGCTCACTTCGACTACGATTTTCTCCGCGGTCGCCTTGCGCAGCATGGTGAGGTACCTTGTAGGGCGGATGGAAAGAGCAGAAGGAGCGGCAAGGTGGGAGGAGGGGTAAGTTTTCACATTCACGCTTAATGGAACTCAGGCGAAAACTATTCGATTGGCCTGGCTCGATGCCATGAAGCTATGCTTTCAACTGCACAGGGCACCACTTGTGTGCGACCTTGAATTGCACAGGGCACCACTTGTGTGCGACCTCGAACTGCACAGGGCACCACTTGTGTGCCACCTTGAACTGCACAGGGCACCACTTGTGTGCGACCTTGAACTGCACAGGGCCCCACATGAGATACGCCACCTTGTGTGCGAGCAGAGCACCACTTAGCAGCTTGCGGCATACAAGTCAGTTGCGTGAGGCATACAAGCCAGTTGCGTGACTCTCGGCAACACAACAAGGCGGCGCACCATTCGCGCAGCTTGACCGGCTGGGGCGTCTTCTGGATCTCGGGGTGGCAGTAGAGGATGTAGTCCTCGCCCTTGAGAGGCGGGCACGCCCAGATGTAGCAGCTCGTGAACCCACGCAGCTTCGAGTACTCCAGGTACCCGATCTGACAAAAAGGAAGGAAATGGGAGGGATGAGATGGGAGGGAGGAGCACAATAGGGTGGCAGTAGAGGATGTAGACCTCGCCCTTGAGCGGCAGGCACGCCCAGATGTAGCAGCTCGTGAACCCGCGCAGCTTGGAGTACTCCAGGTACCCGATCTGGTGAGGTGGGGGGGGAGTTGACGGGGGAGACAAAGAAAGAACGGGGACACAGTAAACAATGTATTGCCCTCCCCTCCCTACGAGTGACATGCACGCCCAGATGTAGCAGCTCGTGCACCCATGCAGCTTGGAATACTCCAGATACCCCATCTGGTGGGTGGGGTGAGTGGAGGGGGAGGGGGAAAGGGGGGGGGGGGGGGGGAAGGATGCGGGAGGGAGGAGGGAGGAGGGAAAGAAGTGGGAAGAATGGAAGCAAGGAATGTGGTCTCTCCTGTTAAGAGGTGGGCACGCCCAGATGTGGCAGCTTCGAGTGCTCCAGGTACCCGCTCTGGTGGGTGGGGTTGACAGGGGAGACAGAGGGAGGCAGAACGGGTAACACATGTGGTCCTCTCCTCTCCATAAGCATGAGATGCAGAGAGAAAAAGCTGCCACATTTGGAGGGTAACACATGGGGTCCTCTCCTCTCCATAAGCGTGAGATGCACGCCCAAATGTGGCAGCTTTTCCCTGCGCCCCCTCCCCCCGTGGGCTTTCCCTTGAGAGAACGCACCAGCAATAAGCAACGGCCTCACCAACACCAACACCTAGGGCAAACGCACCAGTATCTCGTGGTAGACAAAGGTGCGCAGGGCCTCCCTGTGGACGGTGCGCACGTCTGGGCGGAAGTACTTGATTGAGTCGAGGTAGGAGAGGTCGATGCGGCGGTGGTTGGGCAAGAGAAGGCACCAGCATTAACCGACGGACTCACCAGCACCTTAAGCACACGCACCAGTATCTCGTGGTAGACTAAGGTGCGCAGTGCCTTCCCACTGACGGTGTGGATGTCCGGGAGGAAGTACTTGATTGAGTCGAGGTAGGAGAGGTAGATGCGGCGGTGGTTGGGCAAGAGAACGCACCTGCACTAACCAACGGACTCACCAGCACCTAAGGCAAACGCACCAGAATCTCGTGGTAAACAAACGTCCGCAGCGCCTCCCCACTGACGGTGCGCACGTCGGGGCGGAAGTACTTGATTGAGTCGAGGTAGGAGAGGTAGATGCGGCGGTGGTTGGGCGGCAGGCAGTCGGCACCAAACTCCTGCACATACATGGCGTAGAGACACACCTCCACGCCCTCAATGCGCTGGAACAGCAGCACCACCTGGCGGGGGGAGGGGTGGGGGGGGTGGTGTGGGTTGGGTTGGGGGGAAGCAAACAGGCAGTCGGCGCCAAACTCCTGCACGTACATTGCATACAGACACACCTCCACGGCCTTAATGGGCTGAAACAGCAGCACCACTCTAGTGCTTACGAGATATCCAGCAGCATCACAAGGCCATTGCCCTAGCCTTTCAGCGGAAGTACTGCGGAACATTCAAAGGAGATGACGCTTCGCTCACAGCCCCTTGAGGTGCCTGCTGAGCTGACTCAGAGGTCACCCGCGGACTACCTCTCTCCCCCCTCCACCTCCTCACCTTGGACTTGTAGGGAAATTCCTTGGGGTACTCCCCCTCGGGGAACATGTTGAGGAAGCGCGGCTTTGTCTCCATCTTCTTGTCTACTGATGACACCACCCGTATCACCAGCTCCTCCGGCCCCTCGATCTGCAGCGCAGGGCAGCACACAGGGCGGACAGGAGAGGGCACAAGGGGCAACCGAGGGCACAGAGTGGACAATCAATCCACTGGTGACACCATTCGCATCACCAGCCGTAGGATAACCCGCAGGACTTAACCACTGGCAGAGTTAACCCGCAGGACTTAACCACTGGCAGAGTTAACCCGCAGGACTTAACCTATGGTGACACCATTCGCATCACAAAGGATAAGAAAACCCGCAGGACTTAACCACTGGCAGAGTTAAAGATGTCTTAAAAAACCACGATGCCAATCAGATCACCAGTTCTTCCGCCCCTTCAATCTGCACACGGGGACAGAGGAAGCCGAAAGCACATAGCCAGTGCATAGCGAAGTTTGAGAGGTCATCAACACCGGTGTTCCTGATGGCCGGCACCTGGCACACCAGGAACAGACAAAGCTCATCCTGTCTAATCTCTTCCTCTGCTGCCTGACTCACCTCCTCCGGTCTCCTTCTCTGCTGCCTGGCTCTCTCCTCCCTCTCCTGTGCCAGCCTCCTCGCCAGCCTCCCCTCTAGGTGGTCCGACAGGTGTGTGCGTGGCAGGTCCCTGGCGCCCAGCACAGTGGACGGCGGCAGGGGCACCCGCTCCCCGCACTCCATCTGCTCGCAGCAGCACAGCGGACACGTGTACTCCGCCTCGCCCTCGTTGCGCCGCCCGTTGAACAGCGCACAGACTTGGTGCACCCACCGCTGGCACCCGTCGCACTGCACCCACTGGTGAGAGGAGAGGGGGGAACAGCAGGGAGAGCGAGCAGGGAGAGGGAAGAAGGAGTGATGAAGAGTGCGCTGCGCACACCTGGTGCATCCACCGCTGGCACCCGTCGCAATGCACCCACTGGTGGAAGGAAGGGGGGAGAAGGGAGAGCGGGGAGAGTGAAGGAGGAAGGAAACACGAGTAAGTGGGCAATTCTTAAGTTGTCCCGAAAAGAGCCGCCCGTTGAAGACGGCACAACCTTGGTGCACCCTACGCTGCATCCACTGGTTGGAGAAGGGCGGAACATAAAGAGCAGGGCCGTGAGGAAAGAAGCAAGGTGAGGAGCACGGTCAGGAGGGTGGCACACAACAGGGGAGTGCAGAAAGTGAGCAGGGGAAAAGGGAGAGTAGGAGGGCGAGGGGGGAGCAGGCAAGAGCAAACAGAAGAAAGCCAAACGCAAGAATCAGGGGGGAAGGGAAGGGCATACCGCTTCCTCTGTCTCCTCGTCGTTGATCCTCTTGGTCAAGCTAGCCTTGGGAATGGGTCTCAGCCCCTCCAGAGTAATCGCATCCCCCCTGAAGTCCCCATAGCACCGGTTGCACACGCACTGCCTCTGCTCGCCGCCGCCCGGCGTGGAGTAATACGCCTTGTTCCTCTGGATCCTGCGCCCACAGGCAGTGCAGTAGATGGGCGGCGGGTCGAAGAAGAGCTTCTCCACGGAGCACAGCCGGCAGTCGCTGTCGCGCTGCTGCTGCTGCTGCAGCTGCTGCACTGCCTGCAGCTTCTCCTGCTTCTGCTTGCTCTGCCCCACCCACTGCCTCAGGCTGTCCACGTGCAGGCGGATCATCTCCGGGGTGAACAGCTCCGTTAGCGACGTGCCTATGCCCTTGTTCTTCATCTGCTTGCTGCTCAAACCTGCTGCTGCTGCTGCTGCTGCTGTGGTGGCAGCTGCTCCAGGCCCCCCTGCAGGCACCAGCGCCTTGCTCTCCTCTGTCCTAGGCTCTGCCTTTACACTGGCCGCACCTCCACCAGCACCACCTGCTCCAGCTGCACCTGCCCCAGTCCTACCCTCCGTCTTCACCTGCCCTCCCCCTGCTGCTGCTGCTCCTGACCCCACACCCGCTTCTGCCTTCACACCAGCAGCAGCAGCAGCAGCAGCAGCGGCGGCGCCCTTGGCTTGTGTGCCTGCTCTCCCTGTGAGCGCCCCGTTGGCACTTCCCTGCATCTTACTCCCAGCGGCCTTGCCTGGCTTCGCACCGACAGGTCTCTCTGGCCTCTCCTTGTCTCCACCACCACCACCACCACCACCACCCGCCCCTCCTGCTGCCGCAGCAGCGCCAGCCTCTGCCTTGACTCCTGACGTGCGCTTTGGCCCAGCGCCTGTGCTCTTAGGTCCTCCAGCCCCGCCCTCCATCTTGGCCCGTTTCAAGGGCTGTGCACCTGCCCCCTTCTCCTTCTCCTTCCCTGGCTCCACTGCTCCCCCTTCGCTGCGCCTAGCTGCCTCGTTTGCCCTCTTCTGCCCTGTAATGGCCGGGCTCGCACCACCACCACCAGCAGCAGAAGCTGAAGCCACTGCTGCTCCTGCTGCTGCAAGACTGGCGGCTCTAGCAGCATTGGCTGCTGCTGCAGCTGGGGCTGTTCTCTCTATGGGACCCGCAGCCCCAGTACCAGGGGCAGGAGGCACTCCTGACAACGAGGCAGCAGCGGGAGTAAGAACGGGAGCAGAAGCACCATTCGCAGATACCTTCCCAGAATCCACAGGTGCGGATGCAGCGGCCCCACTGACAACTGGCACAGCAGAGGAGCGGACTGCCTGACCGTCTGCAGCAGCTGCAGCATTAAAGGCATCCCCGTTCGCCCCAGCTGCACCAGCTGCTCCATCTGCCACAGGCACAGTCACTTGACCAGCAGCAGCGCCTGCTTCTGCCTCTCCCCCATCGTGCCGCTCACTCCCAGCACCAGCACCAGCACCAGCCACAGCAGCCTCAACAGGAGCAGCCGCTGCAGCCGCAGCTGCCGCCGCCGCCGCAGCTGCCGCAGCAGCAGCAGCTGCTGCGTTTGCTCTAGCCGCCAGCATCTGCTGCTGAAAAGCACGCCTCACAGGCCCACACACAGGGCACTTGGGGTCTCTGCAAACCTGGTGGTGGTGGAGCAGCTTCCTGGAAGGCACGCAGCGGGGGTACGCGCACTCAGGGTCTTTGCAGCGGGAGCAGTGCGCCCAGAGCTCCCGGAAGACCCGGCAGTGCGCGCCCACGTTGCAGGAGCCGTTGGCAGCGGTGCAGCGAGACGCATGGCGCAGTGTGTGCAGCCACTTCTGCTGCCGCTGGTACTGCATCGCCCGTTGAGGGTCTATGGCGCCGCCTCCTGTTGACAGATCACCCGCTGCTCCCGCTCCCACTCCTGCCCCTGCTTCCCCTCCCACTCCTGCTCCTGCTCCTGCTGCTGCTCCTGCTGCTGCCCCTGCTCGGGCTTTTGCAGTGGATTCGCTACTAGCCTGCTCGCCATTCTGCAATGTTGTTATAGCTCCCGGACCGGGTGTGGAGACAGAGGACTGTTGCTGCTGCAGCTGCAACTGCTGTGCGTTCACAGGCGAGGCACCAGGTCTTCCCCCCTGCATCCGTTGCAGGTTCTCTTGCCCTTGGAAACCCGCGTTCCCCTTGATCGGCTGTTGCTGCGGTGCTCGCATGCCCTGGGCTGGTACATGCTGCCCTGGCTGCTGCTGCTGCTGCTGGCGTGACCGCTGCTGCGCCGCCATCCCACTTGCCCCGCCCACACCAGCACCGCCCATGCCTGCAACGCCTACACCGGTACCGTCCAAGCCAGCCCCGGGCACACTAGAGTCGTCCTTGGGAGCACCAGGTTCAAGCAACCCCCCAGCATCCAGCATAGGAGCACCGCCAGGGGTGGGAATCATGAGAGGCGCGCCGCCAGGAGTGGGTATCTGGCCTGCTTGCACTGCAGCCCCTCCTCCCCTTCCTACCCCTCCGACCCCTCCGGGCCCTCCTTTCCCTCCTGCTGCCACAGCAGGGCCTGAAGGGCCTGGTGGCGAGTACCCTGCCGCTCCTGCAAGAGAGAGAGGGAGGGAGATAAACGACAGGAGCGAAAGGCTGAGAACGTTATCCAGAGAACGGGGAGCAGGAGGGCTAGGAGGGTAACGGGGTTGAGTGATTTACCTTGAGAATCGCCTGGTAGTTGCTGCTGTTGCTGGTACATGTGGTGTGGCTGCTGCTGCTGCTGCTGCTGCTGTTGTTGCTGCTGAGACGATCCCTGATAAAGTTGTTGCTTCCGCTGCTGCCCCTGCTGCAGCTGCTGCCTCTGCCCCTGCTGTTGCCCGTGCTGCCCCCCGTGCTGCTGCCATTGCTGCTGCTGCTGACCCTGTTGGCCGTCCTGCAGAAGCGGCTGCTGCTGCTGCTGAAGCTGCATCTGCTGCGCCTGCTGCCGCTGCAATGTGCCGCCCTGATTACTCCCACCTGGAACAGCCACTCCAGCATGTTGACCCACCCCTCTGCCTACACCCACGCCTCCCTGTCCTCCTACCCCCGACGCACCTAAAGGCGCTCCTGCTGCCTCTCTTCCCCCCCTCGATGCTCCTTGCATAGCGACCATGGGAGTTCCCGATACAGCAGCCACGACACTAGCAGCACCATCAGCAGGAGCAGCACTAGCACCCGTACCAGCCAAGCCAGCTGTGGGCATGCTATCCGAGCCAACACCCCAGGTTTGGGATCTAGAAGCTTCGGAAGATTGTAGGCCCGGAGTTGGAACCATTGACGGCACTGATGCATCCGCTAGGGTTGGCGCAGATGCAGAGGGAAGGTTAGGGGTCAGGCGATTGCTTGGCATGGAGGGAGGATGCGGTGTTGGTTGTGGCTGGTTGGGTAGCCGTCGCTGGAACTGTGCTGCTTCCTGCATTGGCTGCTGCTGCTGCTGCTGCTGCTGCTGCTGAGGCGGCTGTTGCAGTTGCTGCGGTAGTGGCCGACTCTGCATGGATTGTTGCTGTTGTTGTTGATGTTGTTGCTGCTGTTGCTGCATGGCTTGCTGCTGTAGTTGTTGCTGCTGGTGTTGTTGTTGTTGCGGCTGCTGCTGCTGCTGATGCTGCGGACGTTGCTGAAGCTGCTGATGCTCTTGCTGAAGATGGTGCTGCTGCTGCTGCTGCTGCGGCTGTAACGTGGAAACAGGCTGTGATTGTTGCTGCGACGCGAACCCGGGCTGTCCACTTCCTGAAATCATAAGCACAGGAAACAGCAGAGCGAGAGAGAGAGAGAGAGAGAGAGAGAGAGAGAGAGAGAGAGAGAGAGAGAGAGAGAGAGAGAGAGAGAGAGAGAGAGAGAGAGAAGGGGGAGAGGAAAATGAGAGAGCGACAGGGAGACGGAGAAAGCGACCAGGACCAGCCATGAGAATGAGAATAACAGCAGGAAAAAGGAGAGCCGGAAAAGAGAATTCCCAGGTGAAATTACACAAGCGTACCGCTTGCCATCTGCTGCTGCATCTGGTGCTGTGGAAGCCGTTGTCCTGGCTGCTGCTGTGACTGCTGCACTTGTTGCTGCTGTTGATGTTGTTGCTGCTGCTGCTGCTGCTGCTGCTGCTGAAATTGTTGTTGTTGTGGTTGCTGCTGCTGCTGCTGCTGAAGTTGTTGTTGCGGTTGTTGTTGCTGTTGCTGCGTTCTGGTCGATAGGAGCCTAGCTGCAAGCTGCAGTCTTCGTTCCAGAGTGCTGAACTCGCCATACTCCTCCTGCAGCAACGCACAACGCACAACGCACCCATGAGAAACAGCAACACGCAGAGAACCCTCCAACCATTACACACTTCGAGCCAGACCAAGTGGAGTAAGAGCGAGACTCGGAAGCCAAATGACGCAGCCAAATCTCCTCCGGTGTCAAGCGAAATGAATGCCGATAGCAGCGAAGGTAGCAGTCACAGCAACATTAGCGAAATGCGGGTTACCCTGGAATTCGCCGTTCGGTAGAGCACCTCCTCCAGCTTGCGTACGAAATCCGTCAGCTTCTCGCGGTTGTACTGCGACGTCGCTTGCGGGTTCCTCGTCTGAAACAGTTGCATCCTGCAAAGGAAGAAAACGACCAGTAAACATTAGACCAGGACGAAAAATCGAAATCGAACACTCGATACGAAAGATTTCGAAGCCACGAAAACGTCAGGTGCCGGGTCACGACGAGGAGAGAGTGCGACGAGTGCGACGCTTACGTCCTCGCGAAGACGCTGTGTCGCAGCTGCGTGTCCTGGTCCGGTTTCCGCCATTGCGTCGCCGGGTTTCCCGCCGACCGCTGCAGCGGAGCAGCGGTCTGCGCCTGCATTTTCCCGGCGCCTAAGCAGCCGGATTCCCTAACCTAACGAGCCTTAGCGTTCTCCAAGCCCTATGACACCAAAATAGGAACTCTAAAGTCAGCAACGGGAAAGTATAAGCTTTCCGTAAACGAGCGGGTTACGTGGCCTTCTTCGCCAACCAGTTGGTTTTTTTACTGATTATCACCATCCAGAAAGTTCTAGACCAAATAGAGAGCCTAAAAACTACGATCCTAAGGTCAGAATGCTTTAAAAGTGCTTTTCATTTTCCATTTTCCACGGCAGAGCAGCCATGGCTGGTGGCAGCTTCAAGCAGAGAAACAAGGTGTTTCAGGCAGCAGCAGAGCGGGAGGGAGGCAGAGAGAGCAGCTCCGCAGAACGCTGGGGTGGGGAGCGGTGAGAGAGGCGTGGAGCAGAAAGTCTCGAGAAAAGAGATCCATCCAAGTTGACGTCGCCGCTTGGCGAAAGTGTGAGAGCAGCCGACGAGAAGGCGGTCACGAAGAACTCGCTGACGGTTTCGAAGGCGTTACCAAGATCGGAGGCTCGTCTCCCTTATAGTTGTAACTTGTGCGTTTATGTTATGTATTCTCATAGAAACGTATTTCCCTAAGGGTAAAGTACACAGTATTTTCAACATTTGACCTAATTCTATCATCATTACCTATATATGGCTACAACATCTCATGAGAGTTATCATAGCAACCTAAAGTATCATAGAAAAGCCGGAACTCCGTGATACGGTAATGGCTAAGATGAACAAAAAGAACGACGACCATGTAATGCTACAATTCTGATTCTTTCGTCGGTGGATATACGTTGATACACAACCTGTCTGGTAATTCCTCATTGTGCTAAGAAGGTTATGGAAGTGGCATAATGGCATTGGCTAAGGAAGGCAGCAAGAATCTAACACGCTGATAAGCTGCTAAGCTGTATTCTTGACGAGGCCGTCCTTGTCCAGGTCCACCAAAACCAAGTTTCCGTTGGCATCTTCCTTTCCCTCAAGGATGTCAGGAAAACTTTTGGCTCATAGCCGCTCCCTGTGTGCTCAGAGGATGAACAAACCAATCCCTAGGAATGGCCTGCTGTGGTTCGCCTCATTGGCTTGGTTTCTGCTAACCGCGGCAAAGGCGATCCGACACATCACCCTGGCGATTCGGCGCGGCAGAGGAAGCCTTACGTACGTTTCGTCCCGACTGAAACGAAGATATTCTCACAGCCAATGAAGTTGCAGCCCTCCGACGTTTGGCTCGTGAATAACCCACCGACAACCTTGAGTCGTCCCGCGATCAGAATCGACGGTTCTTAATTGCCGAGTACAGGCTGAGTGCATGACCGTTCAGCTCGTTTTCAGCCGAACCTTTGGCTCCAAACCAAAGCCTCGCGTCTTGGCGAAACGTCGCGATTCGGTGCCGCCTTAGAAGCTTGGAACGAGTGGTCCGAAACGCTTTTGTGGTCCCAAACGCACTGGTGGTCCCACACTCAGCAGCCAAAAATCTCATCGAAGAGGAAGTCGAGCGCCCAAATGCTCACTCCTCTGTAACCAGGAGGCCTTCCCGCCCTATCTCCCAGCCAAATTCCTCTACAGAATCGAGAAACCCCTTTCCCTCCCCAGCGAATGCCCAAATATTCCTCTTCGGGAATAGGAAATCCTCCTCTCCCCACCGTCGGCTCCAAGCCAATTTTGGTGCTCCCAGCCTTGTTTTCCCCAGCCACTGCATTCTCCCGCAGCATTCCATTTCCCAACCCTCCTCAGCAGAGCCATTTCTCCCAAAATCCTCCTTCCTAGCAATCTCCGACTCATTCCTCTAGCACAGAATTTAGAATTTCGTAAGAAACGCTGCTACGAGGCCTCGTCGCTGCCATCGCAGGCGATTTTGCCAGAGAATTCGCCGTTCTAGCAGCTCGCGTTGTAGAAACCTTCCGCCGGCAGCAGCAGCAACTATAGCGCCACGCTCTGCGGCGTTTAGTATGCTTTTTTTTTTTTTTTTAAGAAGCGTGGATTGATTTAGCGGAGGGCGAGCATGAAGCAATCTGTTCCGCGTGTCTGACTCGCGGTTCCTGGAGCATCTCCGCACAGATCCTGCGACAAAGGTCCTCCAGAAGCGGCCGTTTGAAGGAAGTCAATCCGAACGACAACGGCAGAATCGGCATGGTGGCCCATCAGCCCGTGACGTCGCCGTCGATCGCGAGTGAGCTTCTGGCGAGCTGCTGCGGAGGTTCCTATTTCGAGAAGAACGTTGATTTCGCGGCGGACAACGCGCATAAGGGCTCTCGCGTCGTCGTCCTCTGCGTCCCTTGGGAGTTCCGCCATCCTCGTTGTTCCTCCTCGCCGCGGCGTTTGGCGTGCCCTAAGCTCGTGTCCGACCAGCTCCGTGTCCGAGCAGCTCACTCCGGCCAGAATCGTTGGCGCGTTGGGCGAACGCTCAAGAGGTGGTGGTGCTGGGCGACGCTGACGACACCGCTGGTGCTTCTGGGACGAGCAAACCGGCGGTAAGTACGTGTGAGGAATGATTTCTGGCCCTTTCCCACGGCTGGTTTCAGCACGGTTTTTACACCTTTCTTGTGCATGGTTTCAGACAATGACACGTGTCCGTTCCTCTTGCCCTGTGCGTGCTCTTGTTGCAGGTGGACGTGGCCATGAGGCGGCGCCTCCTCTGAAGCCTCGATGCTGCTCCGTGCTGCCTTTGAGCTGCCAACCCACCGCTGGAGCACGCTCCATTCCATTTGCCAGCTAAGCTGGAAGTCTCCAGCTCAAACTCTTCAGGATTGGCGGCTACACGGATGGGAATGGTAAGCGGCGGGGAGAAGCTCGTGGGGGGGTCGTTTGAGTCCTCTAGGAACCGCAGTAGAGCGTCTCGAGTCTGATCGTCGCCTTGAGTTTGCGTGATTCCGCCTCTTTCTTCTAACGCATGTTAATTCCCCCTTTCCTCTCTGTCTGCACGTGGTCCTTGTGTGCGTTCCACGTGGCGTTCCCTTGCGGCGAGAAACTGAGGCTCTGGTGGCCTGTGGAGCGCGAGGGTCTGTGGCGGGGAGCAGTAGCGGGAGTGGGGGGAGCAGGAGGGAGCAGGAGCACCAGAGGCTGAGGTGCCAGGCGCACACCCACCACCATGTTTGGTCGCTCCCCCACACTCCATGTTTGTAAGTATGAGGGACGAGCTCTAGGGGGGGCGCCATAGATCGTGCATAGAGCGTCGCGTCTGCCATCATTGCTTGATTCAACTCATCCATTCCCGCTGCTCTTAACACACACCCCCTTCCTCCCCCCCACTCCCATTCCCACCCCCACCCAACCCCCCCCCTTCCCCATCCGGGCGTGGGTGGTGCGGCATGGAGTGCGAGCACGTGGATGGAGCATGTGCTTGCTGAGAAGCGGGACGAGTGGCGGGAACTGCTTGGCGAGTGGAGAGAGCAGCGGTGGCTGGAGGGAGGGGTGGAGGGAAGGAGTGGAGTCAGGCGGTAAGTATGGAAGGAGGGGAGGATGCTTGCTTGGAGACCAGCAGGCTAACCAAGCCACTCGAATGAAATCAGCTAAGTACCCTCTCCTCTCCTCCATCTCCTTCCCGCACCCACCCACGCATGCTCGCCACACCACATTCTCACTGCATACAACACCACTTGTGCAACGAAGCTCACAGTCCACAGACCAGCAACAGCAGGTAAAGCCACGGGTTAAGCCCTAGGTTAGGCCAGCCCCTTAGCAGGTACCCCCTCTTGACTGGTGAAAACTTGCACCCCCTACTCCCTCTTGACTGGTGAAAACTTGCACCCCCTACTCCCTCTTGACTGGTGAAAACTTGCACCCCCTACCCCCTCTTGACTGGTGAAAACTTGCACCCCCTACTCCCTCTTGACTGGTGAAAACTTGCACCCCCTACTCCCTCTTGACTGGTGAAAACTTGCACCCCCTACCCCCTCTTGACTGGTGAAAACTTGCACCCCCTACTCCCTCTTGACTGGTGAAAACTTGCACCCCCCTGCACCCGCTGGTCTGTGGATTGCCACTGCTGTAGCACAAGTGGTGCTCCCTCTTTGTTCCTTTCAGTTATGCTCGTTTCAGTTATGCTCGTTTCAGTTGTGCTTCCTTCCTCATATCCTTTTTTTGTTACGCTATCCTGGTTTTTTTCTAAACCCCATTCCTCCCTCGTCCACTGACTTTCCCATTCTCCCCCCTGCCTTCCCTTCGTCCTCTCACAGGTCACTTGGAGGCAGTAGCAACAACAGCAGCATGCATGCAGCAGCGGTGGAGGGAAGGATGGGGGAGGGAAGGAGGGAGGGGAGGCAGGAGGTAAGTAAGTATGGAAGGAGGGGGGGAGGAGAGGAGGGGAGGAGGGAAGCATGTCTGCTTGGAGGCGAGCAGGCTAACCATTGGACCGAAATATGCTAAGTACCCTCTCCTCCCTGCACCCACCGACTTATGCTTACCACCATGCCATGCCATGCCATGCCATGTCCTGTTTGTCCCCCTCATGCCTTCTCGCCTCTATGCTTCGTCTTCAAGCCACACCACTTGTGCAACGAAGCTCACAGTCCGCAGACCAGCTACAGCAGGTTCAGCCCCAGGTTAAGCCAGCCCCTAGCAGGTACCCCCCCTTTACTGGTAAAAACTTACACCCCCCTACACCCGCTGGTCTGTAGATTGCTGCTGCAGCTGTCCCTCTATGCTCGTATTTATTGTCAACATCAGCTTGCCATCCATCCACCTCCTCATTTCAGAAATTTCTTTCTCTCACATGCTAACTTCTCCGCCCACTTCCCTGCCGCTCCCTTTTCACATCACAGGTCACTCGGAACAGCTGCAGCAGCAGCACGGATGTAGCAGTGGTGGAGGGAAGGGGGGATGGAGAGAAGGAGGGGGGGAGGAGAGGAAGGGAGGCAGGAGGTAAGTATGGAAGGAGGAGGGGAGGAGAGGAGGGGAGGAGGGAAGCATGTCTGCTTGGAGGCGAGCAGGCTAATCAAGCCACTGGACTGAAATAAGCTAAGTACCCTCTCCTCCCTGCACCCACCGACTTATGCTTAATGCCATGCCATGTCCTGTTTGTTCCCCTCTATGCTTCTCGCCTCTATGCTTCCTCGCCTTCAAACCACACCACTTGTGCAACGGAGCTCACAATCCACAGACCAGCAGCAGCAGGTTCAGCCAGGTTAAGACTTAGGTTAAGCCAGCCCCTTTCAGGTCCCCCCTCTTTACTGGTAATAACTTACACCCCCATACTCCCGTAGTCTGTGGATTGCCACTGCAGATGCACAAGTTGTGCCTTTGTTCCTTTCAGTTATGCTTGTTTCACTTATGCTTCTTGATATCACTACCATCTTAATTATTTTATGCAATCCTTTTTCTTATCCCCATTCCTCCCTCCTCCACTAACTTTCCCCTCCTCCTCCCTGCCTCCCTTTTCCCTCCTAGGATTCTTGGAGTTGGAGGCAGTAGCAACAGCAGCAGCATGCATGGAGAAGCGGTGGAGGAAGGGAAGGAAGGAGGGGAGGCAGGAGGTAAGTATGGAAGGAGGGGAGGAGGGGACGGAGGGCAGTATACCTGCTTGGATCCGAGCAGGCTGACCAAGCCACTGCACGGAAATCAGCTAAGTATCATCTCCTCCCTGCACCCTCACACCAATGCTCGCCACACACCGAGCCTCACACACCATGCCATGTCTTGTCTTGTTTGCTCAGCTCATACTTTTTCGCCTTCAAACCACCCCACTTGTGCCACCAAGCTCACAATCCACAGACCAGCAAGAACAGGTAAAGCCCCAGGTTAAGACCCAGGTTAAGCCAGCCGGCTTGCAGGTACACCCTTTTACTGGTAAAAACGTACACACTCCTACCTACGCCCGTTGGTCTGTGGATTGCTGCTGCTGTTGCTCAAATGGTGCTGCCTCTTTGTTCCTTTCACTTATGCTCGTTTCAGTTGTGCTTCTTCATAACGTTTTTGTGTTATGCCATCCTGTTTTTTGTTTTTTTTTTTATCCATTCCTCGTCCCTCCACTAACTTTCCGATTGTCTCCCCTGCCTTCCCTTCTTCCCTCACACACAGGTCACTTGGAGGCAGTAGCGAGCAGCAGCATGCATGCATGCAGCAGCGGTGGAGGGAAGATGGGGGGAGGGAAGGAGGGGAGGCAGGAAGTAAGTGTGGAAGGAGGGGAGGAGGAGAGGAGGGAAGCATGCCTGCTTGGAGTCGAGCAGGCCAACCAAGCCTTTTGGACTGAAATCAGCTAAGTATTCTCTCCGCCCTGAAACCCACCCACGCATGCTTGCACCCACCCACGACACACCATCCTATGGCATGTCTCGTTTGCTCCCTTTGTGTTTTCTCGCCTTCAAACCACACCACTTGTGCAACGAAGCTCAGAATCCACAGACCAGCAACAGCAGGTTAAGCCCCAGGTTAAGACCCAGGTTAAGCCCCAGGTTAAGACCCAGGTTAAGACCCAGGTTAAGCCCCAGGTTCAGCCCACCCCCTAGCAGGTACCCCCCCATCACTGGTAAAAACTTACTCCCCCCTACACCCGCTGGTCTGTGGGTAGTCACTGCAGTTGCACAAGTGGTGCTCCCTCATTGTTCCTTGCATTTATGCTCGTTTCGGTTAAGCGTCTTCTTTTCACTACAATTTTTTTTATCTTATGCAACCCTGGTTTTCTATTCACCATTTCTCCCTTCTCCACTAACTTTCCCATCCTCCTCCCTGCCTTCACTTCTTCCCCTCACAGCTCACTTGGAGGCATCAGCAGCAGCAGCAGCAGCAGCAGCAGCAGCAGCAGCAGAGGAAGCAGCAGCTGAAGCAGCAGTAGCGGGGGGTAGGTAGCTAGAGGGCAGGCTAGTGTGAGGAGGTCTCAGGTGAGCTATGGTAAGGTATGGCATGGCATGGTGTGGCATGGCATGGCATGGGATGTGGTTGGTCATCTCTCCCTCCATCTCCTACCCCCACCAGGTGTGCTCCTGGCATGTCATGGGCATGGCTGCACACAGCTCAAGGAAAGGAGGAGTCCCTGCACTCACCACCCCTTCTCCCTCCATCTCCTCCACCACCAGGTGTGCGCTCCACAGGCGAGGAGGCAAAGGCACGGCTGCTCACAGCAGGAGAGTGGAGGCAAAGGCACGGCTGCTCACAGCAGGAGAGTGGAGGCAAAGGCACGGCTGCTCACAGCAGGAGAGTGGAGGCAACGGCACAGCTACTCACAGCAGGAGAGTAGAGGCAAAGGCACGGCTGCTCACAGCAGGAGAGTGGAGGCAACGGCACGGCTGCTCACAGCAGGAGAGTGGAGGCAAAGGTGGGGAGTCCCACCCAATCAACCCCCCCTCAACACCCCCTCCCCCTCCCCCTCCCCCTCCCGTCACTCCACTGCTGCTTCAACCCTCGCGGTGCTCTGCACGGCTGGTAGGTGGAGGTAAGGAGATGCGGTGGTGAAGGGAGGGAGGGGGGATGGGAGGGAGGCATGGGAGCATGTGTGCAGCTCACTCCCTTAGGGGCAGCACCCGCTGTGGTTCTGGCTTGTGGCTCGGGTGTGGTCAGTGGAAAATGCGTGGCACGGCAGTCGGTGCTCAAGTAACAAAGCTGGCGTTTAAGGCATAATGGAACCGGCCAGAGCTGTGCGCGCCGGCTCTGGTTGGGAGTCCCCTCTTGCGACGCATCACGCAACAGGACTTGAGTCTTGGGCCGCCCGTGCACTTTCCACTGCCACTCCCCGCACCACAAGCCAAAGCCATGAGGGGTGTTGTTTCCGAAGGGAGGGGGTGCATGCTGCTCCTAGTGTTTGGGAGGGGGATGGTGATGAGAGGGAAAAGGTGGGGAAGGGGGGAGTTTGGGGGTTGGGAACTCCCCCGAGCTGCTCGAGGTGCAGAGGAGGGCGTCTGCAGCAAGCATCACTGTAAGTTCACTAAGCGGGAGGAGAGAAGGGGGCCTGAAACCCCCTGGGTCTTTAGAGTGAGCAGCAAAGGAGGCGTCTGCAACAAACACCACTGTTATTTTGAGTGAGTGGTAGAGGATACAGGGGGCCTGAACCCCCTGGGTTACTGGAGTGAGCAGCAAGGAGGGCGGCTTCAAACACGTGTGTAAGTTGAGTGAGGGGGAGAGGAGAAAGGGGGCTGAAACCCCCTGGGTTACTAGAGTGAGCAGCAAACATAACTGTAAGTTGAGTGAGCAGGGGAGGAGAAGGGAGGCCTGAAACCCCCTGAATAACTAGAGTGAGCAGCAAAGGCGGCGTCTGCAAGCACCACTGTAAGTTGAGTGAGCGGGAGAGGAGAAGGGGGCCCGAAACCCCCTGGGTAACTAGGGGGACAGCAAAGCAGGCGTCTGCAACAAACACCACTGTAAGTTGAGTGAGGGAGAGAGGAGAAAGGGGGCCTGAATCCCCCTGGGTAACTAGGGGGAACAGCAAAGCAGGCGTCTGCAACAAACACCAGTGTAAGTTCAGTGAAAGGGAGAGGAGAAGGGGGCCTGAAACCCCTTGGGTAACTAGGGGGAACAGCAAAGCAGGCGCCTGCAACAAACACCACTGTAAGTTGAGTGAGGGAGAGAGGAGAAAGGGGGCCTGAATCCCCCTGGGTAACTAGGGGGAACAGCAAAGCAGGCGTCTGCAACAAACACCAGTGTAAGTTCAGTGAAAGGGAGAGGAGAAGGGGGCCTGAAACCCCCTGGGTAACTAGGGGGAACAGCAAAGGAGGTGCCTGCAACAAACACCACTGTAAGTTAAGTGAGGGAGAGAGGAGAAAGGGGGCCTGAATCCCCCTGGGTAAGCTATGAGTGAGGGGCAATGGAGGGCAGCTGAACCCACCTCGGTAAGTTGGGGGCTGAATCCCCCAGTGTAATGTGAGTGAGAGGGAGGGGAGGAAGGGGCCATGAGCCCCCCATTGTAAGTTGAGTGATATGCAGATGAGGGGCGGTGGAAACCCCGTGGTAAGATGAGGACAAATCAAGGGAGGGGGGCTGGTTAGTGCATGGTCTTTAGAGCAAGCAGCTTGACGCTCGGATCTAAAATCCAAATGGGTTGGGAACTATGGCGTTTCAACTTTTGCCCCAAGTACGAGTTTTGTTATCATTATCTTATTAAAGCACATGCTCTTCCTACCTTTGTCCCACCTATTCAGCATGCGCTAAGCCTTTTTTTTTGCATGGCTGGTTAGTGCATGGTCTCTAGAGCATGCAGCTTGAATCTCAGGTCCAAAATCCAAATGAGTTGGGAGCTACGGCGTTTCAACTTTTGCCCCAAATACGAGTTTTGTGATCATTTTCCCATAAATGCACATTCTCTTCCTAATTTTGTCCCACCTATTCAACACGTCCTAAGCTCTTTTTTTTTTCATGCCTGGTTAGTGCATGGTCTTTAGAGCATGCAGCTTGACCCTCAGGTTCAAAATCCAGATGGGTTGGGAGCTATGACGTTTCAACTTTTGCCCCCTGTTCACGCTGTGCACGCTGTGCACCCCATGCACCCCATGCACCCCGTGCACCCCGTGCACCCCGTGCAGCCCGTGCACCCCATGCACCCCATGCGCCCCATGCACCCCATGCACCCATGCACCCATCCACCCATGCACCCATCCACCCCGTGCAACCCATGCAACCCATGCACCCATGCACCCCATGCACCCCGTGCACCCCATGCACCCCATGCACCCCATGCACCCCATGCACCCCATGCACCCATGCACCCCCATGCACCCCATGCACCCATTCACCCATTCACCCTTGCACCCCATGCAACCCATGCACCCATGCACCCCGTGCACCCCATGCACCTCGTGCACCCATGCACCCCATGCGCCCTGTGCATCCGGTGCACCCCATGCACCCCATGCACCCATGCACCCATGCACCTCATTCACCCCATGCACCCCATGCACCCATGCACCCCATGCACCCCATGCACCCCGTGCACCCTATGCACCCTATGCACCCATGCACCCATGCACCCATGCACCCATGCACCCCATGCACCGTATCCACCCCGTGCACCCCATGCACCCATGCACCCCATGCACCCATGCACCCATGCACCCCATGCACCCTATCCACCCCGTGCACCCCATGCATCCCATGCACCCATGAACCCATGCACCCTATCCACCCCATGCACCCCATGCACCCCATGCACCCATGCACCCATGCACCCCATGCACCCCGTCCACCCCGTGCACCCCATGCATCTTATGCACCCATGAACCCATGCACCCGTGCACCCATGCACCCGTGCACCTATGCGACGCGTGACGCGAGCCATGCGAATGCGGCGATGGACTCCTATGGCCGTCGCTCATTTATTTCAAATCCTTGCGCTTTTCCTGGGTACGTGGATTGGGCGACAACCACTCGAATAGCTGTGAGAAGTATTTGCGCATTATTGGGGAGCCTTTGACAATCTCCAGCCATTCAGGAGGGGCTATTTGAGCTATTGCGACTTGTGCAAGTGTTTACGACTCGCTTTGCGAGACATGAAACAGTTTTGCGAAGGGCCTTTTTCCTCCATCCGAACCAAACATACTGACGCAAGCTGCTGTGACACGTACAGATCTCGACAACTCCCAGCACTACTCGTTTCCAATTAGCCACCTTCTCTTCACTCTAGCTGTGATGTGTTTACATGCTCCGCAAATTCCCACGCATGCAGATTTGTGTGTCGCATGGAACACCAGATTGGTGGGAAAACCATAGTGGTACATGTAGTTTGAGTGTATGCCATCCGTTATCCAAAGCCAAATCTGGTGTTTGCAACAATCCAGGACTGCAACTCTCTCTAAGCACATCACACAAGTGCAATATGGACTTCAACAAAACGCCTACACTCCTTGTGCATACACAGTACCCGTTTCTACAAAGTTCCCCTCTGGCTCGCAAACCTCTGCTGAGTCTACGCGCCTAGCTTCTCGGCCGTTCAGCCTTCCAGATTTCTCCCTTTTAGCCTGCCTGCGCAGCCACGAGGCTCACGACTCACCTCATCTGCTGCTTGTAGAGCTGCTCGATGCTGCTCTTGATATTTGCCCTTGTTTCCTTACTCGTCTGCTGGTGTGACCTTCGTCCTGTAACACTCGAACCTGAGACAGTGGTCAGCCTCTCAGCCTCTCAGCCTCTCAGCCTCTCAGCCTCTCAGCCTCTCAGCCTCTCAGCGTGTCAGCCTCTCTGCATGGCCACGAGGTCCACAACCCGCCTGGCCTTCTGCTTGTACAACCGCCCGACCCGATGCTGCTCGTGATCTTGCCCCTCGTCGCATCACTCAGCTTCTTGGGCCACGCTCTCCCCCATAACACTCGGACGTGCACCAGCAATCAGCCTGTCAGCCTGCCAGCCTCTCAGCCTCTCAGCCTGTCTGAGCGGCCATGAGGTCAACCACTCGCCGCGCCTGCTGCTTGTAGAATCTGCCGATGCTGCTCTTGATCTTGGCCCTCGTGGCCTCACTCAGCTCCTTGTGCCACACTATCACCACGCGCACATGCAGCACCGATCTCACCCTCTCGTCCCGCAGCACCGCCTCCTGCAAACCCCCTGCTGTTACTGCCCCAATTCCTCCTCCTCCTGCTGCTGCCCCTGCTACTGCTGCTGCTCCTGCCCCTGCTGTTCCTCTCTCCCCATCCCCTCCTCTGTCGCCCGCTGCCATGCTGCTTCCGCCAACCCCTCTTCCTTTCAGCTTGAGCGCTCCTGCGGCGGCAACCAGTGCCGAGGCCACAGCGGTTGCAGCACCGGCAGCGCTTGAAGCGGCGTCTGCAGCTGCGCTGCCTGCTGCTGCAGCAGCAATTGACACCACACCTCCTGCGCTGTTCTCGCCTGCTGCCCCACCGGCTGCTGCGCCGGCTGCTGCGGGTGGCGGAGTGAAACTCTCCTTGCCTTGAATCTCCTGAAGAATCTCCACCTGGACGTGGGGCAGGGGGTGAATGGGATATAGTAATTTCGTTTAGAGTCAGCTCAAAAAGAATCTCCTCTGGAGGAAGGGCAGGGAGCGAACAGGGGAAGAGAGAGAGGAGTGTTTGGAAGACATGTGAGAGAATGGGGAGTAGATGTCCTTTCTGCCTCACTTGACAGATACCTCAGCAACCTGTTGTTTTACCTCAAAACAACCTGCCGTTGCACCTAGAAGCAGTCTGCTGTTTCACCTGGAAATAATCTGCTGTTTCACCCGGAAATATTCTGCTGTTTCACCTGGAAATAATCTGCTGTTTCACCTGGAAAGATTCTGCTGTTTCACCTGGAAATATTCTGCTGTTTCACCTGGAAATAATCTGCTGTTTCACCTGGAAATAATCTGCTGTTTCACCTGGAAATAATATGCTGTTTCACCTGGAAATAATCTGCTGTTTCACCTGGTAATAATATGCTGTTTCACCTGGAAGCAATCGCCGAAGGGCACTTTCTGGAGTGTGAGCACCTGCTCCAAACACGCCCACTGGCATCCCCCCTGGCCGTCACCCTGGCTGCTGTTGCTGCACTGCTGTGTCATCTGCTGCACTGCTGTCACGGTTGGGGAGAGGGGCGGGACCTGGCCATGGGAGGCAAGGGAGGGAGAGGGGACAGGTGGGCGGGTCGCGGTTGGAGGAAGGAAGTTACTTGTGCCGAGCCCTAATTGCACCCCCATAGAGTTTGAGAAGCTGGGGACATGTGCGTGTGTGTGGTGCCAGCAGTGTGGGAAGACACGGGATGGGAGGGAAATTGCCAGCAGAGTGCACAGCAACAGAAGTTGCATGAGCTGGGAACGAAGGGTTGAAGACCAGGTAGGCTCACTCGTTTTCAGACGTCTCGAAACTCCTTCAACCGCTACTGACACCCCCCTCACCTGCCGAGAGAATCGGTACTTGATGCTGCGCTGGAGCCGAACAACGCCAGCCGACCCGCCTCCTCCCGCCCTGCAGTCCTGCTGGCCTATCTCCTCCCCCCCTGCACCGGCACATCCGCCCACTCGCTGATCTCCGCCCCCATCTGCCCTCCCTTCTCACCTGCCGAGAGAATCGGTACTTGATGCTGCGCTGGCGCCGAATGACGCTAGGCAATCCGCCTCCTCCCGTCCTGCTGCCCTGCTGGCCCGTCTCCTCCCCTCCCTGGACAGGTACAGATTCAGCCACCGGCACATCCACCCACTCGCTGATCTCCGCCCCCATCTGCCCAGCCTTCTCCATCATCCCAGCCGTGGCTGCGGGGTCCTCAAAAGTGCCCAGGAACTGCCCCACTGTTATCGGCACGCCCACGCGCTGCTCGTCGATCACCTCGCGCATCTCCACACCCACAAACGACCCCCCACCATCCTCCATTCCCACCGACCCCCTTCTGGAGTCGCTCACCCCTTGACCCCCTCCTCTCGCCCCCCCCCGGTCTTCTCCCCTTCCTCCTGCACCAAGGCCATCGCCCACTCCCACATTGCCCACTCGTTCCCCCTCCTCCTTAGCTCGGGCTAGCCGCTGATCAGTGGGGAGGTTGCGGTTGCGCCATAATGCAATGACAAGGCGGAAGGCCATGCTCGGCCGCACAAACGACTGGAATCGGATCTTCAGTCGCCCGGCCGAGTCCACGCCGTGCGCCGCCGCCCGGGTTTCCACCGCCCCCTTGTCTTTTTTCACATAGACGGTGACTGCGGGATTCAAGAGGCGCTTAAAAGTCGTCATGGATGACTGTTGGGTGCTGGAGGATTTCTGCACGGTGGAGGTCTCTTGGGAGGTGTTTTGAGCGGCGGAGGTGGGCAGAGCCGTCGAGGTTTTCTGAGACTTTCCCTCCTTTTGCGAGGGAGGGTCGAAGAGGGAGGGTGCATTCTCCTGAATCTCGTCGATGTCCTCCCAAAGGAGGGTAAACTTGATACGTGTGCCAAAGACAGATGAGTAGAAGGCGAGCAGACGCGGCGAGAGGAAGAGGCGGCCCTGCGATGGTTGGTCGGGCAAAGAGAAGGCGAGGGGCGGGGGGGGGGGTTGGAGAGGAGAGGAGAGGAGGGTGGACTTGGTCCGCGTGCCAAAGACAGAGGGGTAGAAGGACCTAGGCTTCCCCGCGACACTAGGCTTCCCCAGGACACTAGGCTTCCCCAGGACACTAGGCTTCCCCAGGACACTATGCTTCCCTGGGACACTATGCTTCCCCGGAACAATACACTTCCTCGGGACAATACACTTCCTCGGGACAATACACTTCCTCGGGACACTACACTTCCTCGGGACAATACACTTCCTCGGGACACTACACTTCCTCGGGACAATACACTTCCTCGGGAAAATACACTTCCTCGGGACAATACACTTCCTCGGGACACTACACTTCCTCGGGACAATACACTTCCTCGGGACACTACACTTCCTCAGGACACTACACTTCCTCGGGACACTACACTTCCTCGGGACACTACACTTCCTCGGGACAATACACTTCCTCGGGACAATACACTTCCTCGGGACAATACACTTCCTCGGGACAATACACTTCCTCGGGACACTACACTACCTCGGGACAATACATTTCCTCGGGACAATACACTTCCTCGGGACAATACACTTCCTCGGGACACTACACTTCCTCGGGACAAAACACTTCCTCGGGACAATACACTTCCTCGGGACACTACACTTCCTTGGGACAATACACTTCCTTGGGACAATACACTTCCTCGGGACAATACACTTCCTCGGGACACTACCATTCTCCAGGACACTACCCTTCCCTGGGACACTACACTGACACTACACTTCCTTGGGACACGACACTGACACTACACTTCCTTGGGACACGACACTTGGCCGGGACACTATGCTTCCCCGGGCCACTTGAGCAGTAGGCGGTGTTGAGCATTGGGTAGTCTTGAGTGGTGGACGCTCTTGAGCTCAGGAACGCTGTGCATACATACTGCAAGGAGGAGCCCTACAGATGCACAACTGTGAAAAGCCCTACACATACCTGCAAGGAGATACTTGCTGTTCTACACACGCATGCACACCTGCGAGAGCAGCCCCTTCTTGAGGATGCAGGAGAAGTCGTTGATGAGGTACTCGCTGTCCGGCAGGTCAAACAGCCGCTGAAACGCCAAGTTCTTCTCCGCCGAGAACTCGCGCACGCCACCCTGGTGCGGCGAGGAGGAGAGGCGTGGGGGGGAAGGGAAGGGGGAGAAGTCGTTTACGGGGTACTCATTGTTCGGCAGGTCAAACAGGCGCTGAAACGCCGAGTTCTTCTCCGCCAAGAACTCGCGCACACCCCCCTGGTGGGACGAGAGGGAGGGGGGAGGAAGGCATGGGGGGGGGAGGGAGGAGGGGAAGGGGGGTGAAGTGGAGGAAGAGGGAAAGGCGGGGAAGGGATTGGTTCGACTCAAACAGGCGCTGGAAGGGCGAATTCTTCTCCACTGAAAATACAACAGCACGCCACCCTGGTGGGGAGTGCAGAAGGGGGAAGGAAGGCGTGGGGGAGAGAGGATGCAGGAAAAGGTGTTGATGCGGTACGCGAGTACGCGCCCTCTCCTGCTGTCCTGTCCGGCAGGTCAAACAGCCGCTGGAACGCCGAGGTCTTCTCCGCTGAGAACTCGCACATGCCACCCTGGTGGGGCGAGGAGGAGGGGGAAGGAAGATGTGGGGGGGGAAGAGGGGGAGGGGGGTGAAGGGGAGGTAGGGACGGAGGGGGTTTAGGGGTTACAGTTGGCCACTCTCTTCTGGTCTGAGAATTCACATGTGCCATTCCTGACATGGCGATCTCTCTCTTGGCATGGCGATGATGAACAGACATGTGAGTGGTCTGAGAGCTCACATGTTCCACTCTCTTCTCTTGGCACGGAACTCTCTGTATTCCCACTTGCCCTCCCCCATCCCGTTTCCTTCTCGCCCTCCTCCACTCTTTTTGTGATAATCTATACGGTCTCACTTGAATCAAGGAAGTGAGAATTCCTTGATTCCGCTTCCTTGCTGATCCTCTCTAGCATCAGGGGAGGGCCAGCAGAAACAGAGGTGTTGTTGAGTCCCCCCCTCCCTTGACGCTCCCCTCCCCTCTTTCTTCGCCCACACATTCATCCATCCATCTCCTCACTCACCTTTGTGCTGATCATACATGACCTTATGAGGGGCTACTCACCTTCGTGCCCACTTTCTTGCTGATCTGTTTTTGAGGCGCCTCACTTTCCTTAAAAATAGACTCCTCTCTCACCTTTGCGCCTACTTCCTTGCTGATCTTCTCCAGCACCAACGGAGGGCCAGCAGCATCCGATGTGTTGGTCAGCAGCACTCTGACATGGATCCGGGCAGCTTGAACTTTCGCCCGCCTGCCCTCCAGGGGCACCCAGAGGTCCGCCAGGTCCTGCACGGACTGCCGGAGGAAGTTTATTTCTGCCCGGCCGAGCAGGGAAGGTTCCGAGAAGGGCCCATCGTAGTTGAAGATCTCGATCTCGAGAATGGAAGGCGCATCCTCAAAGGCGTCGAACTCAAGCACCTCTGCTCGTGGGCGGAGGGGAAGGGGGGGAAGCACGGGGGGGGGGGAGAGGATGCGGAAACGATCTGACTCAAAAGCCAGTTAAGTAGTGGAAGGCGCATCCTCAAAGGCATCAAACTCAAGCACCTCTGTTATTGGGGTGAGGAGTGGGAGGGGGAGGGGGGAAATGGGGAGGGGGGGGATGGGGGAGGGGGGGGATGGGGGAGGGGGGGGATTGGGAGGAGATTCGTGAGTCCAAGTCAACAGTCCCTTGGAGAATGGAAGGCGCATCCTCAAAAGGCGTGGAAATCACACACCTCTGCTCGTGGGGGGACGGGAGGGTCAGACAGAGGGCGAAGCAGGAGGAGACTAACCACTGGGCTGGAAGGAGGACTAAAGAGAAAAGAGATGGCGAAAGGTTTCTTGGAACGCGCCCCAACCCCCCTCTCACCGCTCCCATTTGGGGGTGTTGGTCTGCAGTTTCACAGTGCTGGTCCTTAACGTGCCATGGCACGTGACCACCACAATCTAGGTGTCTAAGCTCTCAAACACCCCCTCCCCCCCCTGGCTCTCACCGTTCCACTTGGGCCCATTCATCTGCAGCTTCACAGATCTGGTCCTTAACGTGCCATGGCACGTGACCACCACAATCTAGGTGTCTAAGCTCTCAAAACCACCCCCCCCCCCCCCCCTCCCGGCTCTCACCGTTCCACTTGGGCCCATTCATCTGCAGCTTCACAGAGCTGGTCCCCATTCATTCCATATGAGTCGACTAAAAAGTACCGAGTCCCCTAAGTTCTCAACCCAACCCGTCTCACCATTCCACTTGGACGTGTTGATTTGCAGCTTCACAGAGCCATGAGTGGTGTTTGTCCTCAACTTGCCGCTGCACGTGACCACCATAAGTGGGTCCGCTTCCACAACCACTCCCGAGTCCCCTAAGTTCTCAACCACCCCCCCCCTCCCCCCTTTCCCCCCCTTACCCCCCTCACCATTCCACTTGGGCATATTCGTCTGCAGTTTCACGGAGCTGGTTCTCGACTTGCCACTGCACGTGAACACAACGAATGGATCTGTCTTCACGACTAGCCCCGAGTCCCCAACGTTCTCCCCCTCCACCAGCGACACTGTGAGCAGCCAACCCTCCCCCACTGCCTTCTTGCCGTGGTCGCCCTCTGAGAGGAAGGAGAAGGGGGGAGGGGGAGGGGGGGGGTTAAGGTGTTAAGCAGAGGAGAGAGGAGGCTAGTTGGTGCTCTGTGAGAAGTCCTTGAAGGTCATTGCTACCGGGTCACTCACCCTTGCTGCCGCATCACTCACTCTTGCTACCCCTGCACTCACTCTTGCGACCCCTGCGCTCACTCTTGCTACACCTGCACTCACTCTTGCTACCCCTGCACTCACTCTTGCTACCCCTGCACTCACTCTTGCTACCCCTGCACTCACTCTTGCTACCCCTGCACTCACTCTTGCTGCCCCTGCTTTCCCTTTTAATGTATCCAAGCACGATAAGACCCCTAGCCATGGCAATCACATGCTCGGTTGCAGCCAGAATCCCAGTACCCCACCCCAGCTCCAGAGCGCATCGCTCACTCTTGATATATTTGGACACAAGCAGGCCTCTTGCCATCGCCACCACGTGCTTGGTTGCAGCCAGGATCACGGCACACCACACCAGCTCCAGAACGCTATCGGGTAAGTCCAACAACGGAGCCGCCACCCCGGCCCCCCCTCGTGCCACCAGCACCAGGTGCACCGGCAGCAGCACCGCCGCAAGGCAAAAGATAACCAGCGCCAGTGGGCCAGCCGCCCGGACTGCCGCCTCGGCGATTGCGGTTTTTGAGGGGAGGAGGTCGGGGGAAAGGCCGAGGAGGGAGAGGAGGCGGGCGAGTGGGGAGGAGAGAGGAGGGGGGGTGGAGGGTTGGTCGGGAGAGAGGGAGGTGGGTGGTGGGAGGGATGCGAGAGGGGGGACGTGCCTGGAGAGGACCTGCGGGGTGGTGGCAGGCAGGGGAGGAGGGGAGGAGGGGAGGAGGGGAGGAGGGGAGGAGGGGAGGAGGGGAGGAGGGGAGGAGGGGAGGAGGGGAGGAGGGGGAAGGGAAGCAGGAGAGTGGAAGGACCAGATGGGAAGGATCCGGGAGACAGATGATGAGGGGAGACAGATGATGAGGGGAGACACATGATGAGGGGAGACAGATGATGAAGGGAGACACATGATGAGGGGAGACACATGATGAGGGGAGACACATGATGAGGGGAGACACATGATGAGGGGAGACACATGATGAGGGGAAGAATATGTCAGGTGGGAGCCAGGCCATGCGTGGGGCTTAGCTAGACAGAGAGCTGCGTCTGAGGGAGGTGTGTCTGAGGGAGGTGTGTCTGAGGGAGGCACACAACGTGGTGCACGCACGGTGAGGACAGTGGCAGGGCTGTCCTTGACGCCCGTCCTCATGCCATTCTCGATCATGCTCCTCATCATCGTGCTCTGCAGGAAGTGTGGCTCAAAGGTTCCTGAGGCCCCTCAAAAAGCACTCACTGAGGGGAAGGTGGCGCACTCACTGTTAGGAAGGTGGCGTAGGAGTCCTTGATGCCCGTCCTCATGCCGTTCTCTATCATGCTCCTCATCATGGTGCTCTGCAGGAAGTGCGGCTCATACGACACGCGCAACTGCGACTTCAACCCCCCACCGGCCGTCCCCCCTGCAGGCGGCGTCTCTCTGCTACTGCCAGCACCACCACCACTACCGCTGCCACCACCGCCACTGCCCTCTGCCGCGTTTCCTCCTCCTACTTCCCCCCCTCCCCCCCTGCGAGCGGCGTGACGCAGAGCTGCATGCGCGTTTCAAACGTGCCCCCATACGGCACGTCGGGCGTCCTCGCAGTGACTGCCACCAGAAACCCCCCTGCGTCTGCCCTCACGCACCGCTGCTCCTCAGTCGCCTGCACGGACTTGACCAGGGAGGACGGCGCGGTCATGTACGATACAGTGCGGTGCATCACGGTGCCATCCTCTTCCCCCTCCCCTGCACCCCCTCGGCTAGTAGCAGCAGGGGGGGGCGGGTTGTCTGGGGGCTTGTAGTCCTTGTGGGCTGTGCTGCGCGTGAGATTCGTTGAGCTGGGAGTGCTGCTGCCACTGCAGCCGTCGTCAAAGAGCCATGGTCCAGCGTTGAGTTGGGTTAGCTTGCGCTCTGGTCAAAGGGAGCATGCGGGGTGACGGGAGGGGAGGGGGGTGGGGGAGGGAAGGGGGGTGAGGGGAGGGGAGGGGGGTGAGGGGGGAAGGGGGGTGAGGGGGGGAAGGGGGGTGAGGGGAGGGGAGGGGGGTGAGGGGGGAAGGGGGTGAGGGGGGGGAGGGGGGGGAGGGGGTGAGGGGAGGGGAGGGGAGAAACGGGAACAGGGGAAGGGAGAGGGATGGGGCGGGAGGCAGCAGGAAAAGGGTAGAGAGATGTGACAACGGGGAGAGATTTGACATGCCCCTCATCCCCCTCATGACCCTCATGCCCCTCATGACCCTCATCCCCCTCATGACCCTCATGCCCCTCATGACCCTCATGCCCCTCATGCCGACTCACCACTGGCAAACTCTTGGAAGAACGCAGCGTCTGGCTTGAAAAGTGTCGCAAAGAGCACATGGGGAGCCGCATCGAACGCCTGCTCCAACACCACGCCTCCCGCCAGCGCACCCGGCATGGGCCCCTTGGATAGCACGCCCCTCATGTCCTGCTCCCACCAGCTCCCAGGTACCGCCACCCCTCCCCCTTCCCTGCCACCTCCTCCCCCGCCCTCCCCCCCTCCCCCTCCACTTGCCTCCTCACCCGCTCCTAAAGTGCCCCTCCGCCTCCCCCTTCCCCTTCCCCCTCGCCCTCCCCCGCCTCGCGGAAAGACGCCGGGGGCGTCTTGAGCGTGGGGTGCTGCATGGCTTTCACCACGCCTGACTCCCTGGCTTTAGCCACGCCGCTTTCCACGGCGTGGCCGAGCGACTTGAAGGCCGATGCGGCCGACGCCTTGGACGCGTGCAGCCGCTGCTTCAACTGCTGCAGCTGCTGCCGCTGCTGCGGGTTGGGCTTTAAGGACTCGGATATCGTCTGCAGGATCTGATGCCGCGGTTTTGCTGCTGCTGCTGCTGCTGCTGCTGCTGCTGCTGCTGCGGGCATATTCTCGCCTTCCTCCTTCTCTGTACTCTGAGAGTACGGGGTCTCCCCATCGTCTTCACTTCCCCCCTCCCCGTCCCGTTCCCCTTCCCCTTTAGCCAACCCCTCTCCCCGCCTCTCCTCCCCCGCTCCGCCCCCCACTTCCGCCTCCTCCCCCCCATTGGCGGAAGGGGGCTCGTCCCTTTGACTGCACGTGGGGGGAGCGCCAGCTGTGACTGTACCGGATGCGCCTGTATGGCGACGTAGGGCGGGCTTCAGGGGGGGGGAGGAGGGCGGAGCGGAAGCGGGGGAGCGGCGGAGGGGGAGGGGCGGAGAGAGGGGGAGCGGAGGCAGGTTTAGGAAAGGCGAAGCTGAGAGTACTGATGAGGGCGGGGGGAGGCGCGGGGAGGGGGAAGGCGCGGGGTTGGGGGAAGAAGAGGGAACGGGGGAAGGCGAGTGGTCGGGGGAAGGGGCGGATTGGGGAGGAGTGGGCGGAAGGACGGGGCTGGAGGGGAAGGTGGAAGGGGAGACGGATTCCGCCACTAACGACGAAAATCCCCACAGGCTGGCGGAAACGAGAATGTCGCCTGAAACCGTCGCGCGCGGTCGCACGGGTCGGTTCTGTAACGGTAACCACGTCGCCTGGAGCTCGTGGCCGTCGCACGCCATCACCTGTCGCACGGGCAGCACAAGCTGCCCGAGAAATTCCTCCCCAATAAACACGCTCTTATCCCACACCGTCACCAGTAGCTCGTCTTTTTCCGCATCGCTGACCGAGAAGAGAAATTCCTCCTGCCACGTCGGATCGTTGTCCTTCGCTACAGTGCTGCTCCGCGCCTTCGAGGCGCCCATCTGGAGCCGCGCGAACGCGTCTCGAGCGCCGCCATTGTCCTTCGGCGGCAGGCCGCGCGCCTCGAGAAGCTGAATCTGAAGCTTGACGCCCATTGGTCGAACTCGAGCTCGCTATCGGTATCGCTAACGCTACAGCGGGACAAGACTGCTAGCGCGACATGCGGTGCGGTGCGGACACGTCAGCGACGCATCGCGCTGGTCTGATTCGGCGTTGCTTCGTCAGTCGGCGCGGTTAAGTACCACCTTTCCGGAACGCACAGCGCAGCACGTGACGGGGAAGGGTCCGAAAATGCGGGGCTGCTTTTGAGTCAACTCAAAAGCAAATGCGGGGCTGGCGGAGGGCGGATGAGGGTGGTCGCATGCTAATGCTCCGACCCGCTGAGAAGCGACGGTGGTCTGAAGGTTGCACGGAAGGTGGCGGATGCTTTGGCGCTGTCGTTAAATAGCGGAGACGAGAACGGCGGGTGTTACTCCTGGGAGGGCGTGGAGGAGGGCGCGTACTGCGGCGCCTTTCGCGGGAGAATGAGACAAAGTGATTGACTTAGACTCTCTTCTCTGGCTTTTGGGGTCACCTCGCCTCAATGTCTGCCGCTCGTTTCGGTCAAAACAAAATTCGCGCACTACAGTTCGGTATGGAAGCGAAGGGGTGCGAGTAATTATCGAGGGGTGGAGTGGAGTGGGCTGAGGTGAGGTACGGTGGGGTTGGGTGGGTTGGGGAGGGGAGTGAGGCGCAAAGCTGCGCAGCCCAGCTGGCGGTGACGGTTTGTGCGGGGGGCAGGGGAGAGGTGCGCACAGAGCTGCGCTGGTAAGAGATTTTGATGGGTTGCGCGGGAGGTGAGCGCGAAAAGAGGCGCAAAAGGGTCACCTAGTCCAACTGCAAGAATACGCGCAACGTGCTGATTCGATAAGTCGAGGGTCACCTGCGTCGTCGCTTTCAAAATCGTAGCTTTGATGCGGTAAGCTAGCCAACAAGCGTCCTTGAAATAAACCTACCTAAATTACGTACGTATACACAAATGGACGAACTTGATTGAGCAGCCATAATTACACAATATTTCCAGCACACCGAGCCAAACAATGCCCCCTGGTCAAATCAGGCCATACGGTATCTTTGTACTTAAAGCGAGGATCTCAAGAAGCACGAAACCAAATCCATAAGGTTTGGAATTGGGTTGGCGAATGAGCGAAACTGTAACATCGGCCCCCCAACACCCCTCACTACACCTCGCAATTTTCACGACCCCCCGAAACCAAAACCTTTGGGTTTGGTTTTCTGCTTCTTGAGATCCTCGCTTTAAGAGTAAGGCTATACATTTGTGAAGCAAAGCCATCCCAACATGGACAATCCCCACATTCAAACACACAATTTTCGAGATGGTGGGAAGCGCCCAATTCTAGGGGTTCATTTTTCCTACCTCAACCTTCAATTTTTACATTCTTTTTGGTCCAATCGGCAATCAAATCCCGGACCACGAGGTTCGGCATGAGGTGTTTGTGTGGCAAGGGCTCATTGGTCATGGGGGAGAGGTCAGTTCGCTCCAACCACATCTGAATGGCCGCCTTCTCGTACGTGTAGCCGTCCGCTGCTAGCACCGGCTCCACCATTATTTTCTGCTTTGAGAAGAGGGGTGGAGGAAATGGATAGCTTTAGGAACAGGAACAGGAACGTGAACAGGAACAGTGCAACATTCTCTTGCAAGCCCATGCTTGTGCTCATGCTCTCACGAACTCCCCACGCAACTTGTTGATGGGGCACAGCAACCCCTTGGCCCCATCCCTTCTTTGAACCCATTTTCCCCTCCCTTTCCTGTCCTCCTCTGGCCTTTCCTCCCACCATTCCAAGCTCAGCCCCACCACGCACCTTGTTGACGGGGCACAGCAGCCCCTTGGGCACATCCCCACTCCCCCCCGACCGCCCACCCTCCTTCCCTGCAGCTTCCTCTGCATCGGCCGCCTCGTCCCTCGCGCGTGCTAGCAGCGGCATCACCTCACTCTCAAGGTCCGGCCGCTTCTTCCTCCGCATCTCACTGCACCGCACTGCCATCCTCGCCACCTCCATGGCCAACCCTATTGGCCAATCGCCCGCCTTCTCGTCCAGAAGTTTCCTGAAAGCTTCCTCATCGTCCTCATCCACCGCCTCTTCTAACTCCTCATAAGTGGTCGGCTTGCGCCCCGTCAGAATATCAAATAAAATAATCCCGAGCGCGTACACGTCCGACTTCGGCCCGTAATCCCCCGTTCGTTGAAACTCCGGATCAACATAAGCCAGAGTCCCCACTGGCACCGAGTCGTGCGCGTGTGTGTGGATCTCCGACCCAGTCCCCGGCATCAGTTTCGCAAGCCCCACATCCCCGAGCTTCGCCACTAGGTTCTTGTCGAGGAGGATGTTGGCGGGCTTTAAGTCGCGGTGCACGATGGGGATGGGGCGCGCGTGCAGGATGAGGAGGGCGGAGGCGACTTCAGCGGCGATGCGGAGGCGCGCGAACCAGGGGAGGGGCGGGGAGTTGTTGGCGCAGAGCAGGCGCTCCTCGAGAGTTCCGCAGGCCATGAACTCGTACACTATGCAGTGGCGCGCCGGGCAGCACCCCAGCAGCATCACCACGTGCGGGTGCTGGATCTGACTGAGGACCTCCACCTGATGTTCAGGTGTCCAGGAAGAAGGGAGAGGAAGAAGGAAAGTGAGAAATGGAGTGATACACACGGTGCATTGGCCTGAGGAGCACCTGACGACCTGATGGATGGAGGAACGCATGGGAGGGATGTGGGGAGGCAAGGTGACAAGACAACGGGAAAGGGACAGGCATTGGTTGTGGCCTTCAGCACCTCGAATCACCTCATTTTGCCCCCCCTCACCTCCTTGTACCCCTCACCACTCCTTGCGGCTCATGCTGTCCCTTTGCCTTCTCTCGAATTGCCTTTGCTTTCCCTTTGCCTTCTCTCAAATTGCCTTTGCTTTCCCTTTGCCTTCTCTCAAATTGCCTTTGCTTTCCCTTTGCCTTCTCTCAAATTGCCTTTGCTTTCCCTTCGCCTTCTCTCACTCCTGCTGGAACTCGTTGGTCGCCTTGACCACATCAGTCGCCTTCAGCACCTTCACTGCCACACATGTGTGGCACATATGGTGCAGCCGGCCACCGAATCACCTCACCTGTTGCCCCACCCTCGTCGCCTGTTGCCCCTCACCTCCTGTTGAAACTCGTTGGTCGCCTTCACAACATCAGTCGCTTTCAGCACCTTCACCGCCACGCGTGTGTGGTGCAGCCGGCCCCCATACACCGTGCCAAAGGCACCCTCGCCCAGCCGGTTCTTGGGGTTGAAATTGTCCGTTGCTGCCTGGGAGGGGGAGGGGGGGGAGGAGAGGACGGACGGGAAGGAGGAGTGGGGGAATGGAGTGGGGGCAACCAAGTGCGGTGGAGCCAGCCTCCGTACACCGTGCCAAAAGCAAAAGCGCCCTCGCCCAGCCCATTCTTGGGGTTGAAGCTATCCGATGCTGGCTGGGAGGGGGAGGGGGGGAGAGGAAGAGATGGAGAGTGTGTAATGAGTCGACTCAAAAATCGACTCATTGCACCTGGCTGGAAGGGGGAGGGGGGAAGAGGAAGAGATGGAGAACGGGCAGGAAGGATGTGAGAAGAAACACGCCATGGATCTCTACACACCTAGCGCACGTATATGGGGATAATGGGGATAATGGGGATAATGGGGATAATGGGGATAATGGGGATAATGGGGACATGGGAATATCGTGCCACGTGTATTTTTCCAAGAGGCAAGAGCACATCCGCCATAACACATGGAAAATAGGCGCACCTGAATCTCTTCATAGCTGTACACGCGGTATTGCCCTCGGCCAATCACATGCTTCGCAGCCGCAGCCTTCTTACTCTTCCCTTCCCCCTCTCCTCCCTTCCCCTGCGGCTCTCCCTTCCCCTGCCCCTCCCTCTTTCGCTCTCCACCACTCTCGCCCACACTCCCACTGCTGCCACCACCCCTGCTGCCACTCCCACTGCCATTGCCACTGCCACTGCCCCTGCTGCCACTGCTGCTACCACCGTCATTGCTGTTTCCAATTCCCCTGCCCCTGCCACTATAACCACTTGCATTCGCATCCTTTCCAAAACTCCCCACCAGACTCAGCCCTAGATCGAGCTCACATCCATCTCCCTCCTCCCCCTCCTCCTCCTGCCTCTCTCCCATCTCCTCCTCCCTCCACTCCTCCTCCTCCCTCCGCTCCTCCTCTTCCCCCTCATTTCCTCTCGATCTACTACCGCCCCTCATGGCACTTATGGAGCTCTCCCCCGGGCTAAGCAGGTCGATCTGGAGCTCTGACATGGATAAAGACAGATCCACGTCACCATCTGGATTCTCCTCTGCCTCTGTGCCGCCCGCTTCGCTGTCCGGCGAAAACGCGCTGCTGCCGCCCATTCCTCTGTCTGCAGAAAACGAGCTGCCGCCCAGAAGGTCCACCTGGAGATCGCTGCAAGAGGCGTCAAACCCGCCATTGAAGGAAATGTTGCTATTTGCGGAAACCTTTTTAGTCAAAGCACGCTTGCTGCTAGAGGCTGGACGGCTGTTTGAGACCTGGTACTGAGGTGAGAAGGAGGATAACGAGCCGAGGTCGAGGGTAGACCCGTCTGTATACCCCACCACCCCGCTACCTGATGCACTCAGAATGTCAATCTGTAACTCCTCCTCCTCCTCCTCCTCCTCCTCCTCCTCCTCCTCCTCCTCCTCCTCCTCCTCCTCCTCCTCCTCCCCTTGCTCCTCCTCTTCCTCCTCCTCCCCTTCCTCCTCCCCTTCCTCCTCCCCTTCCTCTCCACTCTCCTGCTGCTCCTCATCATCCCTCCCCCTCCCTGACTCCTCCCATCTCGACCGTTCCCTGGCACTTTCCTCGAAGCCGGGATTCGGATTGCCCCCTCTCCTCGCTAGTCTCTGAGCTGCCGCCGCTGCCGCCGCAGCCGCTGCTGCAACAGCAGCAGGCGACGAGTCAACTGCCCCGTGCATGGCGCCTCTGCCGAGTCTCCCTGACAGCCCTGACTGCTCCCTTCGCCTTCCTGTATCCCCTCCCCCCCGCGTTCCTCCTCCCCCTCCCCCCCTTCCTCCGCCTCCTCCCCCTCTTCCCCCTGCTGCTGGCACTGTTCTTGCCCCTCCTCTCCCACCTCTCTCGTCCGCATTCGTTCTGCCCGCTGCCCGGGCCAAGGATGCTTCCACGGAGGCGAGTTTCACCCGGGCAGCTTCAAACTCTTTCTGCGACTGCTCCAGCTCAAATTGGTACTGAGACTGCCCGTTCCCCTCCCCCTCCCCTCCCCCTCTCCTCCCCCCAACCTCTCCCCTCACCTGCCCTACTCCCTCCTCCCCTCTCCCTCCCCATGGGCTCGGCTCACCAGTCCCCTCGCCCCGCCCTGCCTGTGGGTTTACCCACACCTGTGTATGAGGCGCCTCAAATATAGACGTCTCCGAAAGAGACGGGTCAAAGCCCGGCCCCTCGCTCCGCCCGGCCTGGGCATTGGCCCGCATCTGCAGCAGCCGCCGCTCGGCGTTCAGCCGCGCGGTCTCTGCCTCCTTGGCCTGTAGCCGCATGTGCTCTATCTCACTCGCTGCGTTGCTCTGACACACACACACACACACACACACACACACACACACACACACACACACACACACACACACACACACACACACACACACACACACACACACACACACAAACAAGGGACGCACGGGACGTGGGACGAGGAACGGGAGAAGGGGGAGCGCAGTACACTGTTGAGTTGCCTGGGGGAATCGCCTCTGGTTTGCCTCCTTGGCCTGTTGCCCCATCTGCTCTATCTCACTCGCTGCGTTGCTCTGACACACACAGGACGCGGGAGGAGTTAGCAGAGGGAGGAGAGAAGCAGAGGGCAGAGAGAAGCATGGGGAGGGGCAAAAACTCGAGGGCCGCCCTAGACACACATTTACTCGTACAACACATTCATGTGTAATGGGTCGACTTTTGAGTCGACTAAAAAATCGACTCATTTTACCTTGAGGGCAGCCCTAGACACACATTTACTCGAGGGCCACCCTAGACACACATTTACTCTGAAACACATTCCAGAAGTGCCCACGCACAGGAGACATACCTTCCGCCCAGAACGTGATAGGAGTCTAGTTTTGAGGCGCCTCAAAACTAGTGCCCACACACAGGAGACATACCTTCCGCCCAGACAATCGAGCCTCGTCCCCACCACCACCGCCACCGCTCCTCCCTCTGCTGTGCCTGCCAACCGTGCTGCGACTCGCTCTCAGCCTCCTCCCCCCACCACCAGCAGCACCGCCTTCCCCATAATCCCCTCCCCCATAGTCACCCCCCTCATATTCCCCTCCCCCATACGCCTCCCTGTTCAGATGTGCCTTGGAGGGCTTGAAGGACGGGGAGAGGCGGGGCAGGGGGCCAGAGCTTGCAGAGAGGCTGTCTTTACCGAGTACAGCGGCCAGGCCGTCCATGCCACTGCGGGAGCGAGGCGGGGTGAGAAACTGCCCCAGTCGGCTGGCATTCGCATTGGCGTTGGCGTTGCTGGTGCTGGTGCTGGTGCTGGTGCCGGTGAGATGAGAGTAAGGGGAGGTGGCAGTGAGTGTGCTGGTGCTGCTGTTGCTGCTGCCGTTACTGCTGAGACCCGAAATGAGCTGCATGGCGCCGCTGCTGCTGTCGCTACCAGTGTACCCCAGCTCGTCATACCCGCTCTCCCCCATCCCCATACGCCCGTCAACTGTACCCTGGTGAGTGTCAAAGGAACTGCTGGTAATGGCGAGCTGGTCTCGGCTGCTCTTGCGCGACTTGGCCTTGGATCGCGGCTTCCTCTTCTCGCCCTCCTGCAGCTGCCCGTACATCGAGTCCTGCTGCTGCTGCAACTCCCCCTCCTGCTGCTGCTGCTGCAAGTGCTGAAGCTGCAGCTGTTGCTGCAGCAGCAGCAGCTGCTGGTGCGGGTCCCCGCCCGGGCTGCTGCCAAAGAGAGCCATCTCCTCCGACCTGCTGCCGCCCATGCTGCTGCCCATGTTCCCGCCCATGCTGCCGCTGTTGCCGATATTCATGCTGCTGCTGCTGCTTATGTTGTTGTTGCTGCTGCTGCGCGCAGGGGGCGGTGCTGGCAACGGGCTCTTATTCCTCCTGCTGCTCTTCCCCGGCTTGCCTGACAGGGAGGGGGATGTGGTAGGGGAGAAATTGTGTGGAGAGAGATTGTGAAAGGACGATGGCGGGTGAGGGAAAGCGAAAGGGATGCTCCCGAAGCTACAGCAGCAATGACCTCCTCTGATTTCGCAATGCAGTTCCGTGCCTATGCCTACCTACCGCCACCCACCACCTGCCCTCACCAAATGCCACCTGCACTCACCAAATGCCACCTGCACTCACCAGATGCCACCTGCTGCACTCACCAGATGCCACCTGCTCTCACCAGATGCCACCTTCCCTCACCAGGTGCCACCTGTGCGGCCAGCAGCTGCTCCAGCACTCCGGGCGGCAGCCTCAGCGCCGCCAGCTCAGCGGCCGGCGAGTCCAATCGCAGGCCGGCAGCAAGCAGCTGATCGACCAATAGGGGCCCGCCGCCCTCGAACTGACCAGGTGACATGGACAGCAGAGGACTCACTCCTTCGGCAAACCCCCCTCCCCCTCTCCCTCCCAATCCCCCTCCTCCTCCTCCGGCTCCTGCTGCTGCTGCCTCTGCCGGTGCTGCGTCGAGTGCGACGGCGTCGAGGGCAGCAGGGGAGCCGGAGATCTGGCCGTCCACCTCGTGGCTGAGCAGCAGCTTGCCCCCCTGGATGACGTACACCGACATGTGTGGCGGCTTGTTGCGGATGAAATACGCGCCCGTGCCAAACGAGTCACTGCGGCTGAAAGGGAGGGTAAAGGGGGGGGAGACAGGTAGAGAGGGAGGAAGAAGGGTGGGGGGAGGGAGGGGGGGGGGAAGTGGTGAGCCACGGCCACACTGCCTCATAAGCGAGTCACCGCCAACATGCCTTCGACTAAAACCAAACAAATAGCATAAAAGAATTTAGTTGAAGGATTCGGAACGACTCACAGGCTGGGCGACTCTCAGGCTGGGCGACTCTCAGGCTGGGCGACTCACAGGCTGGGCGACTCACAGGCTGGGCGACTCACAGGCTGGGCGACTCACAGGCTGGGCGACTCACAGGCTGGGCTGCGCGCCGATGACGAGGATGGAGGCGTGCAGGCGCATGGCCTCCTCCATAATGCCCTTCACTCGCCAGTTGCTGCGCCCCACCTTCAGCTCCACGTGCGGCTGCAACTGGGGGAGTGTGTGTGTGGAGGGGGGGGTGGTTGGGAGGGGGGGTGCAAGTGACGCACTGAGGCTCTCTCCTCCAGAATGCCCTTCACGCGCCAGATGCTGCGCCCCAGCTTCAGCTCCACGCGCGCCTGCAGCTACGAGAGCGGGGGGGAGGGGGGAAGGGGGAAGGGGGGAAATGGTGGGATGGGGGGAGGCGGTGAGACGCAATGTGAGACAGCATCCCCGAGTCCCGTCAGCGGAGAAAAGTGCAGCGCGTGTGGGGGGCCAGGTGGAGGCCCATCCTCCACCTTCGTTCTTGCTGTCCTTGGGGAGGGGAATATCCCCAGCAACTTACCTTGGGCTTGGAGTCCACCGACTCCTACAGCTGCAGCATCATGGGCTTCACCTCGTCTCGCAGGTACTCCAAGATACAGTACAGTGGAACAGTGGGCGCACATCACGATACATGCCACCCTGAGTGAACGGGGATGGGATGGGGAGGTGCCAGCAGCTCACCTTGGGGTCGATGGACTCCTTGAGCTGCAGCATCATGGGCTTCACGACGTCTCGCAGGTACCCCACAAAAACGGCAGTGCTCGCCTCGCTCTGGTATATCTCGCCGCCCGACGCCGCCGAGCCGTACGGGCCTGGAGGGAGGTAGAGGGGAGGGGGAAATGTGGGGGGGGATGGATGGAGGTGGTTCCGTGCCAACTCTACACCCCACGAACACGGCAGTGCTCGCCTCGCTCTGGTATATCTCGCCGCCCGACGCCGCCGAGCCGTACGGGCCTGACGGGAGCAGGAGGGGGGGGAGGGGGTGTGGGGGCAGGGGGGGGGAGGGGGTGTGGAGGGGTGGGGAGAGGATGGAGTTGGTTTTGGTGCCATCTCAGCACCCCACAAACACGGCAGTGCTCGCCTCGCTCTGGTAGATCTCGCCGCCCGACACAGCAGAGCCGTACGGGCCTGACGGGGGCATGAGGGGAGAGAGAGAGAGAGGGGGCGGAGAGTGGGGAGGGTGGGGAGGGTGGGGGGTGGGATTGGGGAGACGGTGGGGAGTGGGGAGTGGGGAGTGGGGAGTGGGGATTGGGGATTGGGGAGTGGGGAGTGGGGAGTGGGGAGCTGGGAGTGGGGAGTGGGGAGTGGGGAGTGGGGAGTGGGGAGTGGGGAGTGGGGAGTGGGGATTGGGGAGTGGGGACGATTGTCAAGTGGGTACTACAACGCCCGGCAGCCCGACACAGCGAAACCGTAGGGACCTGAGGGGGGCAAAGAGTGGGAAGGGGGGGGGGGGGGAGTAGAGTACCTTTGAGGCGACTCAAAAGTCGTTTTCTGGACAGAACCACTGGGCTCACCTTGCGCGGCGGGAACCCGCGTTTTGAGGCGCCTCAAAGCTAGTTTTGAGGCGCCTAAAAGCTTGTTTTGAGGCGCCTCAAAACCTTGCACGGGGGGAACCCGCGAGACGATGTGCAGAAGGATGAGCATGTCATCGGCGCGCTTCATCTTTGGTACGGCTTCATGTTGCTACGGCTATACCTACCGTACCGTGCTCACCTTGCACAGGGACCCGCGACACGATGTGCAGCAGGATGCGCATGTCATCGGCGCGCTTCATCGTCAGCACGGTTGCCCGGCTACAACTATACTTGAGGCTCACCGTACCGTTACTGTGCCGTTCCGCGCTCACCTTGCACAGGAACCCGCGAGACGATGTGCAGCAGGATGAGCATGTCATCGGCGCGCTTCATCTTCTTCCGAATCGCCCACTTCATCGCGTCGCGGCTCGACGGGTCCTTGCTCACCGCCACCACGATGCGCTCCGGCCCGCCGCTAAACGGAGCCATCGCGTCGGTCTCGCTCGCACGCCCCCCCGCGAAACCCTAAGGACCTTTCGACGCCTAGAGCTCTGGCCTTCGAAACCCTAATTAGGACCTTCGAGTGCCTAGCTCTCGGTCCGTCGAGACTGTAGGAACATTTATAGCCTCGATCTCCGTCCGTCAAATCCTTCCGAGCTTCGCTTTCCGTCTTTCGAAACCCTCGGAACCGTCGTTCTCACGAGCTCGCTGGCCACCGAAAGCTAGACCTCTCGCGTCCTCTCGCGTCCTCTCGGGTCCTCTCGCGTTGTCTCGCGAAACGGAAACGCTACTAGACTGCTATGTTCGCGAGGGCTGCTGGGTCGTTGAAAGGCATGGCTCCTAGTCTACTCTAGACAACATAAATAACCAGATCATCGTCTAACCCTACTTCAAATCCTCGTCTGGTCCTCATTCCCTTGGCTGGAATCTACGGACTTCGGTAAGAGGAATGGTTAGAATTTGGTTTGGCCGGAAGAAAGATAAGGTTTCCCTCAGCCAACAACCCCTACTCTGTGTCGGCGGCAGGCCAGAGCAGAAGTTGTTTGCAAACATGCGTTGCCTGCTTTCACTACAATGGTTGATTGGTCCTCCACGGTTGGCTGCTGGTAAGCCTCCAACTTGACAAGCCTGAAGAAACAATGACCACCAGGGCCCTGGCTAACAAGGCAATTACCCTTAAATGTCACGAAATTAAGAGCTGTTTACCGACCTGATTCCGTTTTTTGCATTGGTAAAAGGTTTTTAATTCCGTCTGCCTAAAGGATTACTCTTCGCGTGATTCGTTGGACATTGCGGATTACTTTTCTTCGATTCCGTACGAAGTGCAATAGGGTAGGAAATCTGTTCGTAGTGGTGTATCACACCTTCCCACACTCCCATCTACTTCTCCCAACTCCCTCCACTAAGCAATGCGCGAGGTTAGTTGCCGGGAGTTTTTCTACTCTTCCGACTGCCTGAGGCGTAGTATCCGCGAGAAACAGTCCCTGGGGTCTCGACGGCTTTTCCTTGGCCCTGGCCAAGGCCATTTGCCTTGAAGGATGTTTCAAACCAAGAGTTAGCTAGCTCTTCGACGAATCCGTATGCTAACGGGTACAATTTCGGCGATTCCGTCCGCTAACGGGTATTTTCAGGGACGATTCCGTGACCTAACGGAATACCCTAGGCTTAGCGAGAGTCCCGATGACCACTAGAGAGGTGTGCTGATGAAGACGTCAGCCATTGACTTCCGATTTGGAGCGAAGCTTTGAAAAAATGCTGCTTGTTGTCTTCAGGGACGGATGGGACGCTTAGGCTCCTGTTGGTGCAGGCAAGCTTGTCGGATTTCCCAAGGTTTTACCGGTCCGAGAAATAGAGATGGATCTTACTACAGTTTCTCTGTACATTATCGTCAGGAAACAAAAACATTTCCAGCCCGGAGTCCTAAAGAAAATGGTGCAAATTGCATTAGTCCCAATTTACAAAGTTACCGTGTGGATTTTTGTACAGCCCGATTTGTCTTCAGCGTCATCTCGTGTTTTTATCTGCCCCATTTCTATGGCGAAAAGCTGCTGATCCGGGACGCGGCAACCTCCGCCACCTCCACCGCCTCCTCAATGCTGCCCCGTCCACCTGGGCAATGCTGCTCCAGCATTTGCTGTGTTCTGTATATGCAATCTAGCCGTTGATCTAGCCGTCAGCAGCACGGTGGAATGGAACACTGCGTACGCGTTCTCGTCACGATCAACAACATACCAGAAGAATGTGTTCCCAACATACACATGCCCGTACTTCTATATAATATCTACCCATCACTACAACAAAATTACGCTAGTAGCTCTAGCATATCCCAAAGAATTCTATGACCACTGATGCACTTGCAAGTGGCTGTTCACCCACCTGATAAATCCCGCTCTTTCACAAAGTGCTGTTTTTCACTAGTCTCGGCAATACACTTCTCTATCCAGGCAGCACCCCTAAATCACAATCCCGCCATCATGCGCTCCATCTCCATAACCGCCTCCTTCTGGGCTCGCACCAGCACCGGCATTACCACTTCCCCCAGATCCGGCCTCTTCTTCCTCTTCATCTCACTGCACCGCACTGCAATCCTTGCCACCTCCATCGCCAGCCCCACAGGCCACTTCCCAGCCTTCCAATCCAGCAGCTTCCCCAAAGCCTCCTCACTCTCCTCGTCCACAGCATCCTCTATCCTCTCATATCGTGACGGCTGCCGCCCCGTCAGCAAGTCAAACAGGATGATCCCAAGGGCGTACACGTCCGATTTTGGGCTGAAATCACCCGTCCGCTGGTACTCCGGGTCGACATAAGCGACGGTCCCGATCGGCATAGACGTGTGTGCATGCGTGACGTTACAGCCGGGGCCGGAACCCCCACCCCCCGGCATGAGCCTAGCCACGCCCACGTCCCCCAGCTTCGCTACAAGCCGCTCGTCTAGAAGCACATTCGCGGGTTTCAGGTCCAGGTGGATGATGGGGATTGGCTGCGAGTGCAGGGCGAGTAAACCCGAGGCGATTTCAGCGGCGATGCGGAGGCGTGCGAACCAGGGGAGGGGCGGGGAGTTGTTGGCGCAGAGCAGGCGCTCCTCGAGAGTTCCGCAGGCCATGAACTCGTACACTATGCAGTGACGCGCCGGACAGCACCCCAGCAGGGAGACAATGTGGGGATGCTGGATCTGACTGAGAAGCTCCACCTGTGGGAGGTGGCGAATGGGGACATGTGGTGGGGGGTGAGCAGAGAGTGGGGGACAAGAGACGTGGCGAGGAACGCGTAGCTGATGCAACGACTAGCGGGGCAGCAGTTGAGGAGGGACATGCTGTGGGGTGCTGGACCTGGCTCAGCAGCTCGACCTGTGCGGCAAGTGGTGTGATACGGACAACAATTGGGGTCAGGAGGACTCAGGGGGATCGAAGCTGGAGGGAAACACGGGCCGTAGCAGAGAGAGCACGCGAGGTTATTTCTGCCACCTTGAAAGAAGCTCTGTGAAAGAGGAGTTACTCTGACCGACCGGTCTGGCTCACCTCTCTTTGAAACTCCTTCGCCGCCCGGTCGGCATCAGCTGTCTTGATCACCTTCACGGCCACCTTGCTGCCGCCCAGAATCCCAGAGTACACCGTGCCGCACCCACCCTCCCCCAGGAGCAGCTGTGGACTGAAGTCGTCCGTTGCTCTCTGGCGTTGAATGGACAGAGGGGAGGGAAGGGAGAGAGGTGGAGAGGGGAGAGAGGGGAGAGAGGGGTACACCTGGTAAGCACACAACTAAGCAGACGCCCCAAGTACACCGTGGCGCACCCGCCCTCCCCCAGCAGCAGCTGTAGAGGGTTTTGCAATCGTCCGTGGCTCAGTGGGGGGAAGAGAGGAGAGTGGAGGGAGAGGAGGGTGGAGGGAGAGGAGGGTGGAGGGAGAGGAGGGTGGAGGGAGAGGAGGGTGGAGGGAGAGGAGGGTGGAGGGAGAGGAGGGTGGAGAGAGAGGAGGGTGGAGGGAGAGGAGGGTGGAGGGAGAGGAGGGTGGAGGGAGAGGAGGGTGGAGGGAGAGGAGGGTGGAGGGAGAGGAGGGTGGAGGGAGAGGAGGGTGGAGGGAGAGGAGGGTGGAGGGAGAGGAGGGTGGAGGGAGAGGAGGGTGGAGGGAGAGGAGGGTGAGGGAGAGTGGAGGAGTGGAGAAGAGTGGAGGAGTGGAGAAGAGTGGAGGAGTGGAGAAGAGTGGAGAAGTGGAGAAGAGTGGGGGAGTGGAGAAGAGTGGAGGAGTGGAGAAGAGTGGAGGAGTGGAGAAGAGTGGAGGAGTGGAGAAGAGTGGAGGAGTGGAGAAGAGTGGAGGAGTGGGGAAGAGTGGGGGAGTGGAGAAGAGTGGAGGAGTGGAGAAGAGTGGAGGAGTGGAGAAGAGTGGAGGAGTGGAGAAGAGTGGAGGAGTGGAGAAGAGTGGGGGAGTGGAGAGGAGTGGAGGAGTGGATGAGAGTGATAGATTGGAGGAGGATGTACGGCGAGACGCAAGGCGCAAGTCAGGGGGGACGCAAGGGAGGAGGCCAAGTGCACTGTGCCAGACCCTCGCCCTCGCTCAGCAGCAGCAGCGGTGGAGCCCACACGGCCGCACCTGGATCTCTTTATAGGTGTACACCTGACAGCACACGTCACTGGCCACTTCTAGAGTCTGCTTTTGAGCTGACTTTGAAGCAAGCGGTGGCGCCCACACGATCGCACCTGGATCTCTTTATAGGTGTACACCTGACAGCACACGTCACTGGCCACTTCTAGAGTCTGCTTTTGAGTCGACTCCGAGGCAAGCTGTGTGGGGCCCACCCACCCACACGGCCGTACCTGGATGTCCTCATACGCGTATAACCGGCAGCACATGCCACTGGCCGCTTCTGGAGCCCCTTCTCCCTTCCCTCCCATGCCGCCCTCGCCCTTCGCCTCAGCCACTGCAGCTGCAGCTGCTGCTGCCACCGCTGCAGCCGCCACCACTGCTGCTGCTTCCTTCGGTTTGGCACCAGCCGCGCTGCTGCTGATGCCACTGCTGCCGTTGCTAATGGGAGACCCTGTGGCCTCACTCCCCGTGCCATTCCTGCTGCTCGCGCTGCTCCCGTTCCCCATGGTAAACGTGCTGCCACTGCTGCTCGTAACACTGAAGCTGCTACTGCTGGCGGTGCTGCTCAGAAGATTAGGCTCCCTCGCGGACTGAGCTCCGGATTCATCCTTGGTTGCATTCAGAGGCAGGTACGCAGGGACGTGTGGGAAGCCCACGCCTGCCACACTGCCGTGTGCCGCAGCCATGCTCTCATTTGACACGCCCGTGCGTTGCTGAGACCTGGCCACAGCATGTGCCGCCGACGCTGCATCGTTGGCATCGCTCCAACCACCATACCCACCCACTCGCGCCCCACTTACCCCCTCTCCTGCTCCCCCCCTCCTGCTCCCCCCCTCCTGCTCCCCCCCTCCTGCTCCTCCCCCTCCGCCCCCTCTCACACTGACGCCTTCCATGAGGGCTGCGAGCCTCACAGCCGCCTGCTGCTGCTGCTGCTGGTGCAGCAGCATCCGCTGCTGCTGCTGCTCCCGCACCTGCTGTAAATCCCGTTCAAAGCCCCTTTCCTCCCCCTTCCCTCCGCCCCTCTCCCCGCTCCTCTCACCATGAGTTAGATCCTGCCCAATCTCAACGGCCCTCTCACCACCAGCAGCCGAGAGAGAGGCCGCCACAGCTGTACTACAGTCTCCAGGCAGATCTGACTCGGGCAGCGGGACAGAAAGGGGTTCCGACAGACTCTTATTTCCCCTTTCCCCCTGAGCAGGATCGAACCTGCTCTCGCTGTTTCGGCGGCTGCTGCTCCCAGGGGAGGAGGACGCGGAGGGGATATTGGGGGCGGGGGACCCGGGGAGGGGGCTGCCCGTGAGGGAGAGGGAGGGTGAGCGCTCGGGGGGGGTGGCCTCGCCGTGCTTGGAGAGGAGCACCTTGTCCTTGGAGACGACGACCACTGAGAGGGTGGGCGGCCGGTGCTTCAGGCAGAAGGCGCTCGTGCTGCCAGACAGCTTGCTACGCCTAGGGGGAGAGGAGGGGAGGGGAGGGGAGAGGGTGAGATGGATAGTGGGAGGGGAGTGGATTCGCCGTGCTTGGAGAGGAGCAACTTGTCCATTGAGGTGACTATCACTGACAATGTTGAGAGAGAGGGGAACGGCGAAGGTAGACTAGACTAGGGTGTCCTGGTGGGGGTGCGGGGAGGGAGGCCAGGGAGCTCCTTGCAGTAATCCAAGCCGCAACACTCCGCGGGTCTGTAGCGAGGCGTCTCATAACGCGGATACATTCACGGCGCATCTTACATGCTGAAGAGCCCGCGCGCCTTAGTGTGTGATAAAAAAGATGAGTTGGATGTTCTGCAAGCTATAGCAGATTCATTTCAAGCCGGCAGGGTCCGCAAACGTAACGAATTAGTTCAAAAAAGTCACTGTATGTACGAGGATTCGCTAGAATATGTATTTTTAAGGGTATCTCATTTTTCTGGCCTGCAGCTTGACCGCCTCAAAGTCTAGATTTGAGGCGCCTCAGAAATCTCACATGCTGAAGAGCCCGCGGGCCTGTAGCGAGACGACTTATAGCATGTACAGACGCGGGGATTCTTACATGCTGAAGAGCCCGCGGGCCTTAGTGGCGAGCACGAGGCACGTGGCCTGCAGCTTGATCGCCTCCTCCATTATCCCCACGTCCCTCGAGTCGTTGCGCCCCACCTTCAACTCCAGCCGCACCTGAAGGGAGAAGGAAGGGGGGAGTGAGGGAGAGAGGGAGGGAGGGAGAGAGGGAGAGAGGGAGAGAGGGAGGGAGGGAGGGAGAGAGCGCAGAGAGGGAAGAATACGGGCCGTTGGGGCTCGCGCACGAGGCATGTCGCCCACAGCAGTGCAGCTTGAGCGCCTCCTCCATTATCCCCACGTCCCTCGAGTCGTTGCGCCCCACCTTGAGCTCCAGCCGCACCTGAAGGGAGAGAGGGAGAGAGGGGGGGAGAGGAGAGGGGAAGGGAAGGGAGAGGATGAGAGGGGAGGGGAGGGGAGCGGAGCGAAGGGAAGAGCTGCGAGAGCATTGGAAAGCTTATCCTGGGATCAACTGAGGCTTTCAGCTGCGAGAGCATGGGCCTGATAAATGGTTCTGCCTCGGACGGCGCATCTCAAAGCTTACTATGGGAGTGACGACGGTGCCTTACCTTGGGATCAACTGAGGCTGTGAGCTGCGAGAGCATTGGCATGATGACCGTGCGCACGTGCTGCACTGTCGACCCCCTGAACCCCCCATGCCGACCATGGTGGCTTACCTTGGGATCAATTGAAGCTGACCTCGGCGGCATGACTTGGAATCATCTACTGAAGCTCACCTTGGGATCGACTGACGCTTTAAGCTGCGAGAGCATGGGCATGATGGCCGTGCGCACGTGCTGCACAAACGACGTCTTGGACAGCTCGCTCTGACCCACGTCGTACCCATCCGGACCTGCCACAAACGCGTACGCATGGATGGACATACAACATTCGGACCAAATCTCGTTAGAAATGGGTTCCAGAGTCGAATCACCAGAAGCGAGAACCTGGAGTGTATGACAGAAGACGCCCCGTTCTTAAGGCCAGCATAAGAGGCGGTTTGATAAACAAGGCGGAGTGGGTAAAACAAACTCATAAAACGTCCCACTTGGGGACCGGCGTCTCTACCCCACCGTCTCTACCCCAACGTCGCTCGCCCAACGTGCCTCACCCACCGTCCGCCTCACCCGGCGCTTTAGTGACGATGTGGAGCAGCACGAGCAGGTCGTCGGGCCGCGTGATCTCAACAATGCACGCATCTAAAGTATCCCCCATCCTACATGTCCCTTGCACCGCTTGCAGCCCGTTGGCACGTGTAACAATGCACGCATCCCACCCGTCGCATCCGCAAGATCTCAGCAGCAATGCACGCATCTATAGCAGTATCCCTTATCCCACCTGTCCTTTGTACCGCTTGCAGCGCCGTGGCACATGAGACCCGCGGCGTCGCTCTCCCAACGCCTCTTACCCGGCGCTTTGGTGACGATGTGGAGCAGCACGAGCAGGTCGTCGGGCCGCGCGATCTTATTGGCCACGGCCCATCGCAGAGCGTCCTTGCTGCACGCGTCGCCGCCCACAGGCACCAGAACCCGCTCGTTATAGTCACCCTGCCAGGACATCTCCTTGCGCTACTAGGCTTGACAGATGTTCCAGCGCTCCACGCTAGTGGCGACTACAAATAAGACGAAATATGTTAGCGCTTTAAGGCGTTCTCATACTACTAGTCGTACTAATCCTACACTTGCGGCTCCTTTCTTTCATCGTTTCTTTTATGTTAAATAATATGTTCAGACCCCCTCTTGAGAACTCAATTTTCTTCCCCTATAAAGCTATTGACTTTCGCTTTTTGCAGAAAATAAAGCCTGTCAGCGTCGCGTGTCAGTCGGTCCAGCTCGGCGCGTAGCGAGAGTGAAACCGACCTGAATAAGTCAAGCACGGACCTGAATACGGAACTACTCGGATCTCTATCTTGGGTCGGAATACTAGAACTCTGCGCGTTCGAAACTGGCGACCTAGCGCGGCTTAGTAGAAAGGAGCCCACTGAATAAGCTTTCTGGATATTACTTAAGGCAAACCATAATGTATGGTCCAGGCTGATGGATTAAGAGCTCTCTCTCGAAGCAGCTAGGTGAAGGGCGGCAGCAAGAAGACTGGCTTAGTAGCTGGACAGGGATTCCGAAGACTTTACAGTGCTGTACCAGGTGTGCAAAATCAGGAAAGTTGAGAGACGATCTGTTGCAGAGCTTGACGAGAACCACACGGGAGTGAAGAAACACCCACAGGAGAGCGCTGTTGGTGAGAGAAACACAAACACATGGCCAACCCCATCAACCGGAAGGGCATTCCCTAGGTGTGACCAAATGCAGCTTGTAGGGAATTTCATCCCCTCTACCCTGTAAAACTGCTATTTTGCTGGTTGCATGGTCATATAACCCTGCCCTGGGCTGCACCACTTACGAGTTCGATACACTGAATGTTAAACACCTGCGCCCTTTCGTCATTTCCCCCTCACTTAGTGCAGTAATTTAGGTCTTGATTATCATGTTCTCTGAACCGCCCGAGAGCTTACGACCAAAACAATCCGGCCTCCTCCTGGACAGAACAGACCCCCAGCCAAGTCACCACTAGGCGGATACAGTCGATGCTCACCCAAACCCGTACGCAGAGCCTGTCCCAATCAGAATCACTTCACACAACCTCGGATTTAGTTAGGGGCAATGGGATAACGCACACAAAAACATTTACACCCCACAGCTACCGAATCCACCACGCGTTGATGGAGGGTGGAACGAAACGACCACACAATTGCCCGTCAGGACCACTCTTTATTGACCAGACACAAATATCTTGTTACAAATTCCACGTTTCTGTCCCATTTGCCCATGGCGAAGCATGCGAAATGACGAGCTCGACATTGCCCGTCCGATTCGGGAAGTTTGTGTGACTCTCTCGCTCTTCGACTGTATCTGTTGCCTTGCCTCGGCGGGGAAGGCACCGCGGCTGCGGGACCGGGGCTGAAAATAACAAGGTTATCACCCTGCCTTTACTGAAAATCCAAGGTGTTTTTACTCGTAGCCCGTATTTTACATAGTATTTTTCCAAGTCAGTCCGGAATTACACAGGGGGGAAATTTCGTGGGACCCGTATATATCCGGGTGAGTTCCAGGGCAACCCGGACCTTGTCCACTCTCCAAACCTCTTCCCCCCCCCCCCCCCCGCCAAACCCCCCCACCCCCAACCCCCCACCAAACACTTCCAATCCACCCCCCCCCCCCTCCCCCCCTTTTTTTCTGGACTCAACTTTTGCCCCCGCCCAATCTCACCGCCCTCCCCGATTCCCTCCCAAAAATCTAGCCCCACACCTCTCAAAGCCCGGTACATTCGGGAGCCACCTTGCTGGAAGCCGGGGTTATGTTATTCTCTATCACTTACAGATTTAGTCACCGTCTTGGGTGGTAAGTGACCCCCTCCCCCCTCATCCCCTCTGCCGTGGCGCTGCAGGAGCGAGGCCAAACCCGATTGCCCTACTGAAGTAGTAGCGTGGGCGCATTTTTCTTACCCCGCAATAATTGGTGGCGCTCATGCCTTTTTCGGCTCGGACCCTGATTCATCCGAGCAAGTTTTGGCTCGGCTCGGGTTTTACAAGGTTTTTTTCAGATGGGCCCAGATCGCCCGAGCTAGCAAAAACCTAGCTCAGGCCCTGTGGGACTGAGGCGGCGGAGGAAGAAGGAACCGTCCGATCAAATTGCACAGACGGACAAGTTGCGGATTCCGACAGGGCCTGTGCTGTGCGCACATATCTCAGGAAAGGTGAGGGAGGGGGGTGTGGGGCGGTGAATTGTGATTACAGGTTAAATTGCGGTCATGTATGGTTATGTAGAGCGGGGAGGAATAGAGAAGTTACTGTGGGAAAAGATGTTAGTGAAGGCTGGCCGAATTTATTGGTGGTCGTGTCGTGTACTGTATCGTCGATTTGGAATGGCTGGTTGCTTGGCCAATGGGCAAGCCAGTGCCCTCGATGCAAACACAAAGGAAAAGCCAATCAGACAGCGACCTTCTCGCCCTCGTTTCTATCACACCTCCAATTTTCCTCCCTCCCATTATCCTCCATATTTTATCTAATGCACATTAGAGAAGAACTGTAGAAAGTATCAAAATGACGCTGACTGTCCTGCCACTTCGAAAAGTACCAAAATGACGTTGACTGACAGAAAATCTATATCAACCTTTGGCCACGTAAGCTACGGGCATCAGGATTCGTTCAGCAGTTTGTCTTCCCAGCTGGGCCTTCCACTCTCACTTCACCACCCCTCCCACTCAGCCAAGCGCAAACCATCATTTCCGCAAGAAAACGTACTGAACCGTTTTGTTTTCTAGATCATCGCTCTAAAACGCAAAGAACCATTCTAAGCCACAATCGAACAAGCAATTAGGAACCTCGCTAATTTGATTCACACATCTGAAATTTGTCGCATTTTGCATTCTAGATCTCGCATCAATAACTAGGTGCTCCAGCAGTCACCGCTACCACGTGTAGCAGCTGAGCTTATCTGTCAACCAGAACAGCCCTCCTCGTAGCGTCACATCCGGAACAACAGATACAGCGGCTAGTACAGTTTCTGCCGCCCTTCCGGCTTTCGGGTCCTCGTTTTCTTCTGTTCGCGTCTTTTTCGCGGAAAAGCAGGGGCGACGCCGCGGGCTGCGGGATGGCCTCTGAGGGCGAATCGACGCCGGCCTTCGTGTCCGAGTCGGAGGCGGAGAAGGGTAAGTGAGTATACAGACTTGTAGAAAACTTAACTAATTTCCCTCCTTGGCAAGGAGAAGGGTAACCGTGTTGATATACATACTTCTAGCACTGAACTAATTTCCCTCCTTAGCTAGGAGAAGGGTAGGAGTGTCCTTCGTGTCCGAGTCGGAGGAGGAAAAGGGTAAGTGAGTAGTTTCACGTGCTTCTAGCAATTAACAATTTCTTTTTCCTTTTCTCCTTGGCTTCCGAGAAATGCACAGCACATATAACGAAGGAGCAGCAGCCACGACGTTATAACGAGTTGCTTCGCGCCTCTTCTTCCTTCTCCATACCTTATTTGTGACTGACAACCCATCTTCCTCCCCCTCCCCCCGGCCCCCCCAACCCCCCTCTCCTCCCCAATTTCCTCATTGGCCAGAAGTGCTGGTGGAAAGGGACGAGGTCGCGGCAGGAGAAGCCATAGTCAAGATACGCTTATTTTTATCTCCCTCCCCCCCCCCTCCCCATTCTCTCCCACCTTTTCCAGAAGTGCTGGTGGAAAAGGACGAGGTCGCAGCAGGGGAGGTCATAGAGGAGGAGACCGAAACCGAGGCGGAGGAGACAGCGGAGGAGGACAACGACGAGGACGACGATGATGAAGATAAGGACGAAGAGGACGGGGAGGAGGTGGAGGAGGTGGAGGAGGTGGTGATGCTGCTGTGCGTGCTCAACCTCGACGACGGCGATGTGCTCAAGAAGCGCAAAATCTGGCGGAGGATCGCCGTGCCCTCGGACTTCTCGCTGCTCGAATTGCACGTTGCTCTCCAGGTGAGAGCAGTGAGGAGTGGTGCAGCGAGGAGGTGGTTGTAACGAAAAAAACGTGTTTCGCGATTTGCTCAAGAAGCGCAAGATCTGGCGCCACATCGCCGTGCCCTCCGACATCTCACTGCTCGAGCTGCACGTCGCGCTGCAGGTGAGTCGGACGAGGAGTGGTTTTACGAGGAGGTGACTGTAACGAGAAATCTGGTTCAAAAGGAGGATTCGCTCGGGGTTGCGAAAGAAGCCTTTTTTTTTTAGAATCTTTCGCTTCACTTCTGCAGAAGTCCATGCAAAAATTGGGTCCGTTATTCCGTGTCTCCAATTTCTATTTTTTATGTTTCTTTGCTACAGTGACGATGCACATTTGATTGTAGGACAGTAAACGAAGCATGGCGGAATGGGTTATTGTAGTGGAGCGCAGATCTACGCGAGTCCGGACGGAGGGACGCCTGGGCTTTCCGTAATCGAATGGGGGTGCGGAATTGGCTTTGTATTCCGCGTGCCCCCGTTCCCCTCCGCGTGCCCCCGTTCCCCTCCGCGTGCCCCCGTTCCCCTCCACGTCAGAGCGCCTTCGACTGGGAGTATTTTGAGTCGACTCAAAAATACACCTGGACAAGCCGACTCGCGGTTTATTTTTAAGGCTCCGTGCTCGAATCCCATGGACGAGGAATTTTTGCTCCGCGTCCCCTTCTCCTCACTTCAGAGCGCCTTCGACCGGGAGGACACCCATCTCCGTGACTTCACCCGCTCCCCCGGCCGCTCCCCCGGCCGCTCACCCGGCTGCTCACCCACTCACCCCATCGCTGTTCTGTGTACTCTCGCCCTATCAGAACGCGTTCGACTCGGAGGACACCCATCTCCACGACTTCACCCAGCCACTCACCCCATGGCTGCTGCTCTGTGCGTTCCGCCATTCCCCCGCTCGCCCCATTCCCCCGCTCCTCCCCCCATCCCCCCGCTCCTCCCCCCATCCCCTCGCTCCTCCCCCCCCTCTCCCCCTCCCTCCTGCGTCTCACAGAACGCGTTCGACTGGGAGGGCACGCACCTCCACAACTTCACGCAGCCGCTCAGCTCATGGGTGCTCTGTGTACTCCCGCCCTCTCTGCCATGTGTACCCTCCCGCCCTCCCCCCCTCCCCTCCCTTTCAGAACGCGTTCGACTGGGAGGACACGCATCTGCACGCCTTCACCCACCCGCTCACCCCATCGCTGCTGCTCTGTGCGTTCCCCCATCCGCTCCCTGCGTTCCGCCTCCCACCCACCCTCCACTCCCCATCAGAACGCGTTCGACTGGGAGGACACCCACCTGCACGACTTCACCCAGCCGCGCCGCCATGCGTGGCGCCGCCTGCTGGACCCCGCGGCCGCCCTGGCGGACGAAATCACCGACTCCGAGGCCGAAGCCGAGGGCGCTACAGCCAAGCTCAAGGAGAAGTCCGCTACAGCCGGTATCAGCGCTGCTACAGCCGACGCTGTGGCTCTCCCGCCCCTCCCCGACACGCAGTACCGGGGGTTTGGGCGCACGGACTTGTCGGCTGTAGCAGAGCTGCTACAGCTGGATTTGGATTCCCTGCCGGCCGGGTTCACCCGCACGTTCAAGACTGTAGCGGGCGCCAAGGAGGAGGCGGCGGACGATTTGATTCTGACCCCGGCGAGCGCGGATCTGGGCGGCAGCGCTGAGGTGGTGTTTGTGGAGCATGCTGACGTGGCGGCGGAGGGAGGAGGGAAGGAGGTGGCGGCGCTGACAGGCCCTGGAGAGGTGAGTGGGGGCGTGAGGGAGTGAGGGGGAGTGGGGTGTGGGGGAGTGTGGGGGGAGTGTGGGGGAGTGTGGGGGGAGTGTGGGGGAGTGTGGGGGAGTGTGGGGGCAGGAGTGTGGAGGAGAGAGTCTTGTGTGGGGGGCAGGGGGGAGGGTTTGTGTGGGGGGGGGGTCAGGGGGTAACGTGGGGATTTGAGATATCTTTGATTGTTGGAGGCACGAGTGGGTGTGTCTTTAACTCAACAAGTATCACTCCGTCCTCCCCCTCTCCTGCACTCCCGTCCCTGCTCGCCCTTCCTCAAGCCCCCCGCCTGTCTCTTTCCCTCCCCTTCCCCCGTCCCCCCGGCGTCCCCCCCGCCTCCCCCTTCCCCCCCCCCGACCAATCAGGTATTGGATGAGAGGGCGTTCGAAGTGGGGGCAGCATTCGCCAAGACCGACCCGCTGCTCGTGTACCAGTATGACTTCGGCATGAGCTACGAGGTGCACCTCATTTTCGAGGGTAAATTCCCCGCCACGGAGGGGTGAACTACCCCACGTGCCTGGCGGGAGCGGGTGCGAGCCCTGCAGAGGACGGCAACGATATGGACGACGAGGGGGCGCTGCTGCCGTCGTACGACTACAACGACTTCGCCGTGCTCGATGTGAGTTGCTTGGCTGCCTAGCTGCATTCGATTTGAAGGCATGTTGTACCGCCAGGGATGGTGGAGGGCAAGGAAGGAGGGGGGGGGGTGGGGGGGGGGGGGGAGTAGGGCGGGGGGGGTGTTGACCAGCAGAGGACGGCAACGATATGGACGACGAAGGGGCGCTGCTGCCGTCATGCGACCAAACCGACTTTCCTGTGCTCGATGTGAGTTGCTTGGCTGTGCTTTGAGGGGCCTCGGATCAGCAGAGGACGGGTTGGTTGTGCTTTGATGAGGGGTTGGGGGGCCACAATCAGACGAGTTGGGGGGGCATCATCAGACGACGGCAACGATATGGGCGACGAAGGGGGGGTGCTGCCTTCACCAAATTACAACGACTTTGCCGAGCTCGATGTGAGTTGCTTGGCTGGTCGTTTTGCTGAATGCTTGTCTAAAGCATCTTCTGAGGACGCATAGCCCATGGTGCCTGCCTATTGCAAAAAGTCCTTTTGCCAAACATGGCTTCCCATGTCCTTGTCACTCACTCCATTCTCTCTCCCCCTTCCCATCAGGTGCTTGCCAACTTTGAGAAGACCTTTGAGGACTCGTGGCCCGTGGGGCCAGGCTCGGAGGACAGCATCGACGCTCCCCGGTGCTACATGTGCAGGTAAGGGCCTGCCGAATCTATGTGTGAGGTATGGCTGTGCCAACTTGCCGACTATGTGCGAGGTATGGCTGTGCCGGCATGCCGAACCAATGAGTGCAGATTGGCCATGCTAGTGGTACTTGTGTAGGGTTTCTTGTGGCAGAGGCGTGAACGTTGTTTAGTTTTGAGACGTCTCAAACGTAAACTACTTACACATGTGTGGGCGTTTTGAATTCCTGACTGTCAGCCAGAGAAGGAACCCATCCTCCTCACGCCCCCCTCCCCTCCCCCCCTCCACCCACCCTCCTCCCCATCCATTTTTTAGGCGCCTCAAAAATAGACCCCCCCCCACCCTCCTCCCCATCCATTTTTTATGCGCCTCAAAAATAGAACCCCCCCACCCTCCTCCCCATCCATTTTTTATACGCCTCAAAAATAGACCCCCCCCCACCCTCCTCCCCATCCATTTTCTCCATAGGTGATTTTCGAGTTCCCTCCCCCCCATCCATACTCCCCCCCTGGCCGCCCTTTGCCCCTCTCAGGTACAACCGCGAGTGCGGGCAGCGCCGGGAATGCACAGGAAAGTGCTGTGGGTACTGCCTGAAGGGTAGAGGAGAGGAGGTTTGTGAGACGCTTAACATTCCCCCTTCCCCCTCGCAAACCCCCCTGCCCTCGCCCCCCGGACCCGCCCCTTGCCTCTCCCAGGTACAACCGCGAGTGCGGGCGGCGCAGGGAGTGCACGGGGAAGTGCTGCGGCTACTGCCTCAAGAATCCGCTGCACCTGCTGGCCGGCTCCATCTCCCTACGGGACGCTGACGCCGCGTATGAGAGCACGGCACGGAAGGTGCTTGAGAGCAAGGTGGCTGAGAGCGCCGAGACCTAGAGCGAGAGTGAGGGGCGAGCGGGAGGGGTGAGCGGGAGGGGGAAGAAGCATGGGGTGGGGTAGCCTCCATTGTCCATCTCTCTCTACGGGAGGCTGACTCGGCTTATGAGAGCACAGCAAGGAAGGTGCGCTGGAGCAGCAGAGCAAGGCTGCTGCTGAGAATGCTGAGGCTTAGAGAATGAGGGGTGTGGGAAATGGCATGGCATCTGGTGAGCACGAGGCATGGCAAGGGGTTGGCCCCATCCATGAGACTCACATGCGGGCTCATGGGCTTGCTTCCTCTTGCCGATGGTTGATCTGTGGGGCATGACGTATGGGGTGGGGAGTGATGTTGCGGCATGATGGTTGTCTGAGGTCACAGGTGCACTGATGTAGCTAAACCAAGGGGAGGTATCTTGGGGGGTTCTTAACCATTAAAAATATTATTGTACAGTAGACTGCAATCGACTGCTCATACGGCGGTAGCGGGGGTAAGGTGAACATTTGGAAATCTCATGTAGCATGGGCGTGGTACATGTTATGGTAATCTACATTCATCATATCATTTCACAAGCTGCACTGTATCTTGATTCGTGAAGCACATGGGAACATTACAAGCTAGCAGTGATCGCACACAAGTGCATAGAAAGCACAGTGCCAAACATACCTGCCTGTGTTCTGGAACTGCGGATAGCGCGGATCTGGGCTGTTGGGCTGAGAAAAACCCTTTAGGATCTTTTGCAGAGACTAAGTCCCAGCTGTAAAGACTTGAGACTTGGAGTAGTGCAGCGGAAGTTGAGGCAGTTGAACCCTTGTACTAGTATGTGAGAACAAGTGATTGATTAAAGAAACAAGCATACAGCAATATATAGTAGATAAGAAAGCAGTTGTAGAATACAGTTACAGGAACGGTTTATCGAGTCGCACAGCGACTCGATTGCCGCTTCGGTTACCATCCGTGATGTTGTAACGGTCAGTCGCAACCTCCAGTTGCGACCTTTCGAGTCCTTTCGCATTCTTTGTCCGCCCCCTCGTGTAACCTCCGTTGACTCGCGTGCTCCCCTGTAATCTTCCTCGAGTACAGTGTTACACTTCAGAAACGCTTAAGTCCTTGAGATATTTCCAACACTCCCCTTCGTTTCTGGAGTGCTGGAGTGTTCAGATCCGGTGGCGTTTGTTTGCCCGGTTAGGAGCATGCAGTAGTCGAATTTTGCTTTCGCCAATTTCTTCGTCAGATAATCTGCGGCCATTTCTGTCGTCGGGCAGTAACTGAGTTGAAGTCTCCCCTTCGCGATTTCATCCTTGACGAAGAAGTACCGCAGGGCGATGTGCTTGGTTCGATTGGCGAAGCCGTCCTTGTTCGCGATTTTGATCGCAGATTGGTTGTCGCAGAGGAGTGAGAAGGCGGGCAGGGTCGCGATCTTCGCTTCTTCGAGTAACTCTCGTAGGTAGAGTCCTTCCTTGGTCGCAGTACAAAGGGCGATATACTCTGCTTCAGCCGAGGATAGTGCGATTAACTCCTGCTTGCTCGACTGCCAGGAGATAGTTCCGATAGGTTCTAGTCGGTAGATGTAGCCCGTCCTAGACCGTCGATTTTCGCTGTCTCCCGCGTGGTCGGCGTCGACGTATCCGAGTAGTCGTACGGACGGTGTTGTTGCCTTGCTGTAGGTAAGCCCGATCGTCGGCGTGGAGACGAAGTAGAGTAGCGCTCGATTGAGTTCTTCGAGATCTTCCTGTTGCGGATGCTTCAGATGTGTCGCCAGCTGACTCGCACTATAGGATAGGTCGGGTCGGCAGGTTACTGCTGCGAATAGTAGGCAGCCGAGCTTCTGTTGATACTCCTGGATTTGTTTCGCGGGGAGTTTTGTAGAGGCGCTGCCGTTGTTCCCGTAGCGGTAGGGAGTTGGGACCGCAGTCGGTGTTAGAGCGAATTTCTTCGCGACGGTGCTTGAGTACTTTCCAGCGTGTAGGTAGAACGCCGTGTCGTCTTCGACGACGTTCAGTCCTAGGTACTGCGTAACTTCGTCGGACACCGTGAGAGTTAAATCTTCTTTCAGCTCCCCTTCGAACCAGGTGGCGATGTCGGTAGTTGAGCCGATGTAGAGCAGGTCGTCGACGTAGACGATGAGCAGAACATACTCTCTTCCCTTCTGCAGTCGGTACATCCCTTGGTCATGCGGCAGCTGTAGGAAGCCGATTTTTACGAGACGGCTGTGAAGATGCTGCTGCCAGAGCCGCGGGGCTTGCTTGATCCCGTATAGGGATTTTGTCAGTCGGCATATTTTCGTGGGGTCGTCGATGAATCCGTGGGGTTGTTCGACGAAGATCTCAGCGTCCACAGGTGCGTATAGGAACGCATTCGCGACATCGATTTGGCGTAGTGGTAGTGTTTTTGTGGCCGCGACGGCGAGTAGGATGCGTAATGAGGTGTGACGGGAGACTGGGGCGAAGGTTTCTGTGTAGTCGGTTCCGTATCGTTGATCGAAGCCTCGTACGACCCATCGAGCTTTGAATCGTTCGATGGAGCCGTCTGAGTTGGTCTTGATGCGGTACACCCATTTCCCCGAGAGAACGTTCTTCCCGTTGATGCTCGTTGCAGGTACCAGTTTCCATGTTTCTCGGTCTTGCAGAGCTTTTAACTCCTTTTCCATCGCTTCTTTCCATTTTGCCTTATGTTCCCCCCCCAGAGCCTGCGACAAGGTTGAAGGCTCACGCGTAGAAGGCGGCGGCGGATGCTGGACGGAGACCCAGAGGCCTAGAATCTGGAGTCCCCGTGGGTGTGTGTCGAGGGGAATTGTCATTCCCCGAATAAGCTGCTTCGTCACCGTCTTCGGGGTCAGGTAAGAAATTGGGGCCGATGCGTTCCGAAATATTCGTGTCGACGGGGTGCGGTGTAGCGTAACCTTGGTCGGCGAAGTGGTAAAAGGTGTCGAGGTTGTTGCTATCGAGGGGATTATCTTCATCGAGTGGAACAGGTATGGAACAGAATGGGAGTGGCCCGGCAGCTTCCGAGGCTCCAGGTACGTCTTCTTCTGCTGCGTCAGCCTCGGCAGCATGGTCAGCGAAGGAGCGAAGGCCCGCGAAGCCGTCGGTGGGGTCGTCTGAGTTGGCAATGTTGTCCAGGTAATGCTGCAGCGTCAGTCGCTCGTAGAAGATAACATCACGTGATGCCACCGTATTTTTGTCTTGTATGTCGAGGATCTTCCACGCGTGAAAATGTTTGGCGATGCCGAGGTGTAGTCCCCACCGAGCTCGTTGAGTGAAGCGTCCTGCTCGAGCTGTGTGGGGTCTGTATTGTACCATGCAGCCGAAAACTCGAAGTAATTTTGTGCTGCCCCTTTTTCCCGTCCACAGCAGGTGTGGTGATGCGTTGTTGGGAGCGATGACGAGGACAACAGGTTGTGCAGGTGGACTGCATGTGTCATCGCGTCTGGCCACAGTGCGTTGGGGCAGCCTCATCCCCAGAAGCAGTTTTCGCATCGTCGTCTGCAAGGTCCGGTTCATGCGTTCTGCTACCCCCTGCTGCTGGTGAGCATAGGGCAGAGACACCAGGCGTCGGATTCCCCTTTCCGCGAGATAGGTCCTGAAGCGTTGTGACTGGTATTCCAGTGCACCGTCTGACTGGAAACTCTTGAGTTTGGTTCCTGACTCTCGTTCGGCGATTGGAAGCCATGTGGTGAATGCCTCGAAGGCTTGATCGCGCGTTTTGAGATTGAAGTGCCAGACGTATCTGGTTGCGGCGTCGATGAACGTGATGACGTAGTTGAAGTCGGCTTCGGTGTCGTCTCGAGGCATGTTTAGAATATCGCTGTAGACCTTTTCCATCGGAGCGTAAGTGGGTGCGCTTGGATTGTGATGGGCTGGGAAAGGTTGATGAGGAAGATCTGCTTCGGGGCATGTGAAACACCGTGCGCGTGGTCGTCGGAGTTCCTGGCCGCTCGTCGTCAGAAGGGCGTTGCGTTCTAACACTTCTGCTTGGATTGTTTGAAGTATCGTGCTGTTTGCAGGATGTCCGAGACGTTGGTGCCAGATGTCGTCGGGAGCGCGGTGACCGGGCGAGCGGTGGTAGATGTCGGCGTTGGAGAAGAACGCGACGACCGAGGCGGGACTTCGACAAGCTTCTCGTGTGGCGGGCATAAGTTGGTCTGCTTCGGTTGGCTGTCCTCGTGTCGCTGGTGGTGGTACTCGGCTGGGTCCTGCTGCCGATACTGCAGGTGATGGTTTTGTTGGGACACATGCGGGTACTTGTCTTTCTTGTCTGATAACTGCTAATGCTCGAATTCTTTCTGCTGCAGGTATGGTGTTGGAGTGCCAGAAGCCGTCGCTGTCGAAGTCGGGATCAAGATCTGGCGGATGAGTCCAGGCGGCGAAGGATACGATACCGTCGCTGTCGGCAGTTCCGCGGTCGGGGACGAAGTCCAACACGAAGACACCGGACTTCAGGAGGGCACGACCGATGAAGAGACCGCCCTTCCCGTGGTAAAGTCGGAACTCGTTGGAGAAGGAGTCGCACTCCAGGTGAATCCCCTTAGCCATTAGTTGGCTTACGCTTAGTAGGTTGTATCCCAGATTGTCGACGATGAGGACTTTGTTGAGCTGAAGAATAACGTTTGTCTCCATTGATTGTAACTGAACCACGCCTTGCCTGTTTGTTTTCAGGTTTTCGTTGTTGGCGACGGTGATGACGACGTCGCGGTTGAGGCGTCGCTCGTGTTGTACGAAGCGTCCGGAGGAGCACATGTGCTGACCGCAGCAACTGTCCAAGAACCAGGTGTTCCGCCCGGTGGGTTCGGCGTTAGCGACTGCAGCGTATGTCGGGTTGACCTGAAGTCCTTGCGAGCGCGGCGGCGGGAATTCCTCTTCGTCTGGTGCGTAAGTGGGTGGTGAAGCGGGTGCGCAGTTGTCGATGTGTACCATGCAGTTGATGATGTTGGGTGTTTGTTGTGCAGATGTTGAAGAGCGCTTGGAGGACTTGCTTGAGTGGAAGCGACTTGTGGGTCTGCTGCACGGTAAACGCGAGGGCGGTTGCAGTTGACCTTGGAGTGCCCGGAAGTCTGACAGTTGTGGCAGAACGGCGGCACGATGGTGAGTCCTCGTTGTCGCGTTGATCTTGCTTGCTGCGTCGGTTGTAGTTGTTGTCATTTCTTCTTTGAGTGTAGAAGACTAACTGCTGTTGCTTCCTTGGTTGTCTTTCCTCGAACAGATCCATCTCCTGTTGTTCAGCGTGAAGCTCGGCGCAGAGGTGCATCTCCGAAATTCTTCCGTGGGCTCGAAGAGTGATCGTGTGGTTCTCCATTCTGGCCCGAGCCCGGCGAGGACAAGTGTCACGAAGCTTTCTTCAGTGATCGTTCCTCCGCACCGAAGCAGGCGGTCGCGGAGGGTCTGGCAGCGACTCATATACTGCATCGCCTTTTCCCCGGTCTTCATTTGTATTGTGTCAGCTGTTGCATGAGTCTGCTTTGTGTCACGCTGTCGTTTGCTTGGTAAAGGCATTTGAGGTGGTGCCATGCGAGCTCCGCGGAGTTTCCATAACTCCGATACGTTCTGATGCTCTGCTGCTCTTGTGGTGACAGGTTTCTCAGGAGTACCGTGTACGCCAGCAGCGACTGATACGTGAAGATCTCTTGTTCCTTCCCAGTGCCGTTGCTTGGGAATGGCAGGGACCCGTTGAAGTATCCCAGAAGATGCGCGGCCTCCATCAGCAGCTCAAACTCGAAGCTCCAGGTAAAGAAGTCGTGTCCGTTGAACGGTGAGGATGTCTGAAGTTTGATCACGTGTGAGAACTGCGCCTGTAAACTTAAGATTTCATTCGGTGTTTGTTGTGAAGCAGCTGCTGTTGGCTGGGCACGGGGCGGCATGAATTCGAACGTCCCCGGCGAAGAATGATAAGGCGCAAAGGTAGGCGCTTGGTTGTGTCGCCCGAAGGATGAGTTGTCGAGGCTCATCGGTGCTAATCCCATATTCCCTCCATTGCTCTGTGTTGAGTGCGCAGGTGTCCTTGTCTGCTGCTGCTGGTCGAAGTGTGACATGAAGCTGAAGAATCTCTCCATGAGATTCGGGTCCACACTTGAAGAGGGAGACGGAGTCACCATCTCTGGTACTCTTCCCGTTGTTTCTTGAGTAGTCCCGGTCTCTGTCTGCAGTCCTGAGGTGTGCAGACCAGAGTTGCCGTGTTGAGTTTCTTGGGCGCTGGGTGAGCCTGTAGAGACTTTCTTGCCCTTGTTGTCCATGTCTTGTAATCAATGGAGTTGTTGAATCAAGTTGAGTTGCTGGTTGTTGATGGAGTGTAGTTGCTGGGAGTTTTGATCTCTGACCAGCTCTCATACCATGTTGGGCTGAGAAAAACCCTTTAGGATCTTTTGCAGAGACTAAGTCCCAGCTGTAAAGACTTGAGACTTGGAGTAGTGCAGCGGAAGTTGAGGCAGTTGAACCCTTGTACTAGTATGTGAGAACAAGTGATTGATTAAAGAAACAAGCATACAGCAATATATAATAGATAAGAAAGCAGTTGTAGAATACAGTTACAGGAACGGTTTATCGAGTCGCACAGCGACTCGATTGCCGCTTCGGTTACCATCCGTGATGTTGTAACGGTCAGTCGCAACCTCCAGTTGCGACCTTTCGAGTCCTTTCGCATTCTTTGTCCGCCCCCTCGTGTAACCTCCGTTGACTCGCGTGCTCCCCTGTAATCTTCCTCGAGTACAGTGTTACACTTCAGAAACGCTTAAGTCCTTGAGATATTTCCAACAAAGCCTACCAATTATATAACACAATATATAATTTAACACGATCAGCATCAAACTAGGCCCAGTTTGATTCGTTCTTGACCAGGACCAGAGCACAGGGACATTTGAATGGAACACTTGTGCTTGTAGTGGGCTCCACAGCCACCGACATTGAACCCAGTGTAGGTTCGCGTAGCAGTTATGAGTAGGAGGAACGCCACAGCTCAGATTTCACAACGCCCATATAGTCCATGTACAAAACAGCTCTCATGAAAAAACATGGAACACAGTCAATAACCACGCAGTGTCATCACCTATGACAATGAAAGTCAATGCGCATCCGTCGTCAGCGCTGTTGAGGGTTCTTCAAAAGCCCGATCATATTAGAGATCAGTCTAGCAGTCATTCTTTAGCAGCTTCTTTAGGAGCTTCTGGCTCAGCTGCCTTCTCCCCATTTTCGGCCTCAACCTTTTTCTCTTCCTCAACCTCAAGAGGCTTCAACAAACCCCACTCAAAACCGAAAGGGTCGATGAACTTGCCATAACGACGACCCCAGTCCTGGTCGGACACTTCAAGGCTGGCCTTCGCGCCTTTGGCGATAGCCTTAGCAAAAATTGCATCCGGATCACTGCACTCGACCTGAATGGTAAATGTGGTTCCCTTCAATGCAGAAGGCGGCCTCTTGCCACCCCTGCACCAGAAAAAGAAACGTCGATGATCAGACATCGCTGGAGACTATCATCTCACAGAGTACTTCAGCCGTCGGAGGAAAATTCATGGCGAAAGATAATAAAGCCGAAGGCGAAATTTCCAGCTCCATGTCGAACGCAGCGACCAAAATTAGGACCAGATGAAAAAATGACACGCGGAATGAGCTCACCATGTAATCCAGCAACTTACTCAACGGAGGCACCATGACCAGTATCATCTGCAAGCTTGATTTCCACCTCGCCGAGCTTGAGATGCGCGTGATCAATCAGAGGGTCATCCTGACCAGCCTTCCTCTTGCCATAGATCTTCGCAACCTCCTCAAAGCCAAAGACATCCTTATACCACGCAACGGCTTCGCCAGCTCTCGGAGGATCAATGGAAAGAATAGGGTGGAGAGACTTGAAGGTCACGACTTTCAGAGGCGTCTCGCCGTCAACGACTTCACCCGCCATGGACGTAGGCCAAGATAGTTAGATTACGGAAATCTCAAAGCTGCAAACGAGCTGATTCGAAATGTCACTCCTTGAACTGGGAAAGATGTAGTGCTTGGAGAAGGGGGTGGGAGGATGACCAGGAACACACACGTCACCATATAACATCCGTAATTTGTGGGCGGAAACGAACACGTCTTCTGCCAAGCCACCTCAACTCCCCAACAGATTCCCATGAAGGCAGCCTGGTGGAATATCTTTCGCGAAATTGTTGGACGATTCCGCGTCAGCGCTTGCTTTCGTGTCATCGATCGAGATCTCTCATGGTAACATAGAAAATATTCTGACTTACATAGGGCTTGAATTGGAAGCAAAATTCCGGTTGGCGAAAGCCACAGAAAAATTCCGGTTGGCTTTCGCGTGGTTCTCGTCTAGCTCTGTTCGTGCCTATAAAAACCTAAGCCTCAATTGTATCTACACTCTTGAATCACGACTCCTTTATTACACTACCTGTTATTACTCTGATTAATTCATAACAGCTGGTATTATCAGAAATTCAAGTGATAGTGATAGAGAGAGAGTACACACAATATAGCTAAGTGTTGTACCCTCTAAGAGGCTACCCTATACAGTCTATACACACATAACAAATAGACATGTTTGACACACCCCCTAGACTGCATAGGGGAATGCCCTAAACAAACAGCTCAGGGCGGCACTACTAGTCCAACCTCTGAGACAAGGGTCTGAGCGACCAGTCAGAAGGAGTACAGACAAGGCAAGCACAAGAGCAGGGCGGCACTACTAGTCCAGCCACTGGGAGAGCACACAAGTCCAGTCTGAGTATACATATAAAGGACAGTACAAAGTCAAGGTCCTAGCAAGTGAGAGGCTACAGGAACTAGACCAAGCTGGACACAGTGCCGCTGATGATCTTTAGGCGCAAGCGCCTTCGTAAAGATATCAGCCGTGTTGGCACCTGAGGCCAAGTGTACTACGCGAGCCTGACGTCGCTGCTGTAGCTCACGCAGGAGGAAGTACCGCAGCTGAATGTGCATCGCTCTGCCCTCGAATCGAGGCTCCTGACACAGGAGGATCATGGCCCTGTTGTTAGCGAACAGGACCGGGGCAGAGCTAGGCCGCTCACCTAAGTCAGTGAGCAAGAAGGTCAGCCAGCGGAGCTCCTGTGCCGCATGGCACCGGCGTAGATCTCAGCCTCACAGTTGGACTGTGCAACAGACGAGGAGCGAGTAGCTCTCCACGAGACGGCACCTGAGCCAAGGCTGAAGCAGTAGCCCTGGGTAGACCGGAGTGTCTCAGCGTCGTCTGCCCACGAAGCGTCTGTGTGCCCAGTAAGGACCACTGGCCTGCGTCCTCCTAGCACTAACCCCATGCCCGATGTACTAGCAAGATAACGCAGAACCCTCTTAGCGGCAGACCAGTGCTGCGGTCGGTGTCTGCCTGTGGCCACAAAGCGAGCCAGGATGCTGAGAGGGTATGTGAGATCTGGGCGAGTGCAAGTCATCAGGTACATGAGGCAACCCACCAGCTCTGCGTAGGGGCCGCTGGGCTCTACAAACTCCTCAGGCACTGGAGCGGAGAGCCTGTGGTCTACAGGCAGAGGGGTGGGCTGTGCAGAGGAGAACTGAAGGCTGAACCACTAAAGGACATGGCGCACCAAGTGTGACTGAGTCAGGGTGATGGTGCGCGCAGCTCTGTCCCTGGAGATCTGCAAGCCAAGCCAAGGTAACGGCGCAGTTCTCCAAGGTCAGTGCAGGTGTGTCTCTTCAGCAGCTCTGCCTTCACGGAGGCCAGCGCGTCCCTGTCTGCTGTGGCAAAGACCAGGTCGTCGACGTAAACGAGGATGTAGAACGGAGAGTCTGGCCAGCACGAACGAAGAGTGAAGGGTCTGCAGAAGACGGAAAGAACTGCAGGTCAGCAAGCGTAGCACGCAGGGTGTCGTGCCACTCACGGGGAGCCTGGCGCAGGCCGTAGACGGGGCGCCGCAGGAGCCACTGGGTCCCAGGAGGGAAGGTGCCAGTAAAGCCCGGAGGGCGGCGCAGGTAGACCTGCTCGTGTAGGCTGCCCTGAAGGAAGGCAGTGGAGAAGTCGAGGGAGTGAAGCTCGTAGTCACGCTGAGCAGCTAGGTGTAACAGAACCCGAAGAGTAGTCATCTTCGGGGTCGGAGCGAAAGTCTGGAAGAAGTCCACCCCCTCGCGCTGACTGAAGCCTCTAGCCACATAGCGCGCCTTGAAGACAGGCGGCTCTCCAAGAGGGCGCTTCACCTTGAAGAGCCAGCGGCCATCGACTACGTTCACCCCAGGCGGGGGAACTGCGTCGACGAAGGTGCCGGTGGATCTCCAAGATGCCATCTCCTGCTCCATGGCAGCTATCCACTGCGAGGCCCAGGGTCCCGAAGTCGCCTCAACGTAAGTGCGAGGGGTCGGGATGTCGAAAGCGTCTGGGTCACCCTCAGGGACTAGCAGCATGGAACAGAGTTGGGGAGCAGCCTCGGAGAGGAAAGCAAGCTCGAACTGGCGGTCCTCCAGGACGTCACTGCCAAGGGCAGAAGCACCCCCGACAGACAGAGGACAGGCAGGGTCAGAGACCAGAGCGGTGGCGTAGTCAAGGCGGCGGGTAGAGGCGAAGTCAGCGACAGCAGCGACAAGAGCGTCAAGGCACGAGGCCGGAACAGACGGGGTCGGTAACGAGTGAGGCAAGGACTCGAGGAACAAGAAGAGGACGAGCGGCACGAAGGTAGTCAGACAGCGGGGGGGGTGCAACAACAAGGGAGGATGGAGGAGGCGACGGCAGAAGGGGAGGACGAGACGCGTGGGAACGAAGCAACATAGGGTGGGAGCGCAGGACAGGCGAGGCAGGACGAGCACGGGAGGGACGGTGAGGCCAGACGTGCGACGGAGGAGTCGGCTCAGGAGACGGAGGGGACACAGAGAGGGAACGAGGGGGGAGACGGGCCGGGACGAGTCCGGCGGAGGAAAACAGGGCCGTAGACAGGAAGAGGAGGAGACGGTCGGGGAGGAACCGACGCAGGGTCGACGTCCCCGAGCAGGCGAAGGGATGACCGGGGGGACTGCTGCGGCGGCGACACAACGGCGACACCGGGACCGCAAGCTGCTCCTCGGCTACCCCTGCACTCTCCACACCAGCACCCCCAGAGGGACCACCCCCGAGGCTACCGGGACGAGCACCCCCAGAGTCAGCGAACGGGTGCTGCGACGCGGCGGCGGCGGCGGCGGCAGCAACGACGGCTGCAGCGGCGGCAGAGGCGGTGGAGGAGGGGACTGGGAGGGGACGCTTGGGGACGGGCGGCTGGCGAGGACTGCACAGGAGGGCCACCAGAGTCAGAAGACTCCTCAACCGGGTCCACCGACGGAAGGGGGGTGACGTGGGACACACCAGAGGGGGCGGGACGGGGAGGAGGAGGAGGAGGGGCAGGGACTACGGGGGAAGGAGTGGCCAGGAACAGGGGGGGGTAACCCGGGGACCACGGTGGGGAAAGCGACGGTAGTAGGGGACGGACTCGTCAAAGGTTGACGTCACGAGAGTGAAAGAAGCGGTGAGACGGCGGGTGGTAAAAGTGCCAGTCAGACGCGTCAAGGGGAAAACCGAGGAAGACGCAGGGAAGAGTGCGGGCGGTGAGCTTGTCCGTGCCGGAGGCACGAACGTGAGCAAGGCAGCCCCAGACGTGGAACATAGACGCGTCACCAGGAGACCCAGTCCACAGATTGGTCGGCGAAACCTGCGGCTGCTGAGGGTGCGGCCACAGGTTAAGCTGGTGAGAGAAGCGTAGCGCACTGCGAACGGCCACAGAAAATGGGTGCACCGGCATGGACCATGGAGGTGCGAGCGACCTCCATGACCAAACCGATGCGTCGCTCGGCAACCCCATTCTGCTGTGGGGAGTCCGGTAGTGTGAACGTCTGGGTGATGCCCTCCGCACGACAAAAGCGACCAAGGACACCTGAGGCAAACTCGCCACCACGGTCGGAGTGAAGACGCAAGACAGGGAGACCGCGGTGGACACGCGCAGAGACAAGCCAGGGGATGAGGGCGTTAGGCACGTCGGCCTTGCGCTCCAGGGGAAAGACTGTGTGTGTAACGAGTGAAGTCGTCGACAAGCACAAGGAAGTAGCGCTCGCGACGCGGCCCAGGGACGGGGGCGGGGCCCCAGACGTCCAGGTGCAGGGTCTGCAGCGGCGCGGCGGTAGGGGGAACGAGGAGGAGTGAGGGGCACGGCGAAGCCGACCCTCGACACAAGGCGTGCAAGGTGGGAGCTGGGGAGGAGGGAAACGCAGGGAGGGAACCTAGGAGACCAAGGACAAGACCGTGCTGGAGCGCAGGGTGACCTAGGCGGTGGTGCCACAGGAGGGTCGGGTGAGTGAGGGAGCGACAGGAGCAGGCAGCAGCAACCTGGGTAGACACACCGGGTCCCGGGGGAACGTGGACAGGGGGGCACCAGTGGCGGCCTCCGGTACAGACAGCATACCGCTCGTGACCAGGGAACGTAGTGGTGACGCCAAGGTCCTGGAGGCAGCCGACACCAACTAGGTTCCTGGAGAACGAGGGGATATGCGGATACAGACCTGTAAGGGAGCCCGAAGGAACCGCCGGACAGGGAAGGGTGGTGGAACTGCGGCGACTACCGGACCGCCGGAGGGGTCAGCAAGAGAAACGGCAGCAGGAACAGGAAGTGGCGTCAGGGTGTGGAGTCGCGGAAGAAACACCGAGAGGCGCCAGAGGTCCAAGGTGAAGGAAGCGAAGCCGAGGGGGTCTGGCGACGGAACGACGGCAGAAGCACCAAGACTACACAAAGCAGGGGTCCTACGCCTGACGCAGCAGGGGAGGCTAAGCTAGGCACACCTACAACTAGGCAACAGTGAGTAATAAGCGGGAAGCACACTAGAGTCATCAGCATAATACATGCAGAGCAGAAAAAATGGCATCCATGTCCATATCAAAGATCTGAATCTGACGACTAAGCAAACTGTGCTAGTCCGGGAGGTCTGGCGACGGGCCGAAGCGCTGACGAAAGAGGTCGTCCAGGCGACGAAAGCAGCGGGAGTGGAGTGACCGATCTTACGCAAACGAAGCCGCGGC